GGGATGTTTAAACCCTAAACCCTAAACCCTGGGGAAGGTCGAGGACTGTCGGGATCGGCCTCTGCAGCGTTCCAAGCGGCCATGACGACATCGGCCTGTTTGCCGGTGACCTGCGAGCATGAGCTTTCAACCCCAAGTCAAACCATCCAAGCAGTTGAAGCCGAAAGGCTGCAAGTGCTCATGTGTTTTGTTGTGGGTAGAACTGGGACATCTACTCTGTAGAGTCGAGTCTCTAGAGGCCTTCTCTCCTCCGACGATTATGGTGTGAGCGGCAGAGGCGATGAAGCCTGGCAAGGGAATTCCCTTTCTGACAAGCTCGTAGTAACAGGATGCCTTGCTTGCTGCAACCTTTGTAAATTGGCAGAGCACTTAGCTCCCGCTGGCACAGCTCAGGCTCAGAAGCCAAGATCACCAGCGAAAGTTGATAAGCATCGCCAAAGCGCCGTCGATGTGACACGCCAAATCGATCTTGGCAACGTCGCCTGTCTTCAGTTGCCTGGTTGGGGCAAGGTTCTCGTTCGTTCCAGCATATCCCTCTTACATCTTTCTGCTTCAAGTCATCACCCACGAATCCAGCACAAGACTCAGATCATCTCTGCACTCAGAAATTGCAGCCCTCAATCCCGAACAAAAAACCCTAAGAACTGTTTGGAGGATCCCCGACTGGCTCCGGGCGTCCGGCCTGGACTCGCCCTTAGCCCAAGCAACGTTTGCTCTTTGCTTTCTACGGCATCTGTCACTTAGTCGACTTTCAGCGACTATAGCAGCCTGCATCAAATTTTTTGTGGCATCCGAGGAAATTGAATTGCTCGAAAAGGGACAGCTCTCCCTAGACCTTCGAGAACCCTATGTCCAAGCGGAGTGTTCTTAGGCAACAGAGTGTTAAGAAAGTGTCAACATGGTGGTGGTGAAGTCTTCATGCTGGCAAAGGCTTCTGTAAGTCGGCAAGGTGGGCCTGCGGAAATCCTTCTTCAGGCGATGGGTCCCCGGATGCATTGGTCCGCTTGTCAGCTTCAATGCGGTTGATTCGGCCTACAAGTAGAAACCTCAGCTCAAGTCACACGGGTCATGGCCGAAGCCAGTGGCTCTGCTTGCAGCGTCGGATGTATAGCGGTGGCCAGTGATACATGGATTGCCCGCAGCGACCCACCATGACCAACCCCTCCCCCAGAACTCCTCGACCGTGTGAAGCTGGGACCTGTACCCTGAGCGGCGAGAAGTGTCCCACGATCTCGTTCACGGAAATGCACGTAGGGAAGGCCACGCCCTGGAAGCCGGAAGCGTTCAAAAGCCCCGTGTTTCGGTTATCGCTCTCTGGGCCTGGCGGCCTGGCGGCCTGGCGGCCTGGCGGCCTGGCCTTCTCCATCTTCTTGCCTTCCTTGTCCTTCTTGTTGTAAAGCTTACCCGTCCTTAACCGCACGGAAACTAAACGCAGGGAACCGAACCCTCGGAGATACTCGGAGTCGGAGTCTTCGGACCAGGGCCGCAGCTCTTCCTCCATGATCGTGTCCCCCATTTCGCAAAGCACGACCTGGCGGATTCCACGTGAACCTCTCCCTTCGACAGCTCACGTCGAAATGCACCCCTTGAAAGGAAAGGCACAAGAGATTCGCTTGAGTCGTGACTTCGTCTCAACCGCTCTGATGCGAGAAGCGGCACCTGAACCTCCAATTGTGTCTAGGTCTTTGGATGCAGAGCCGATATTGACCACAGGTGCGACATGACTTGGTGCCCCAATCCAAGGCATGCTCGGGGGATCTCGGGGGGTTGAAACACAGAATCGGTCACACGTACACAGTTCACAATAAAAGCCGATCTCGACTTGCATTCGAAGGGTGTGCTGGCTCACGGAGAACTGTCATCATTCAAGTCCGTCTCCAACATGGCAGGTGTGCAACATCCGCATCGGGCACACAAGCGTCTACAACTTTCTGCAGTGCCTGGCGGGGACCGTGTGACTCACAAAGAGGGTGAGACTGGGCTGAATCCAAGATCCCCCTGCTTTATGCAGAGGGTCTCTCTACTTTTGGAGCCTTGTTCACGATGTCTGCGGCCGCCCGATACTTCGTGGTGACCTGCAGCTAGCTTGGAAGACAACCGCCATCAGCCCTGCCATGTCCTGCAGGTACCGCTCTGAAACTTGGCGCCCGACGTCAGGGTTCGAAAGGTCGCTGATTTCCTCATTCCTCAGCTCGCCGCGCGCCGTCACAAGCGGGAGCTCTGTGCGCAGAATTTCAGCCCGTAAAGCTCCCGGACACAGGAACAGCCCCGTGGCTCCGAGGGCACGGCTCGGATTCGTTGTCAGACATAGCTTCGAGGGGTCGAAGCCACGCAAGTCGTCCTGCAGCGTCGTCTTGCGCTTGATTCCGCAGAGGAGCCAAAGCATCCTTCCCGACTCTGTCCAAGCCGCTGAGAAGAAATTCGCCAAACCCTCATGCAGATCCCTCGCTTGAGCGCCCACATGGCCTCTTCGATTCAGACGGCCGGTGCGTTCCAAAGGAGCCCGCTACCGAGCCAAAGGGTTTTGCGGCGTGCCTCAGTCCCAATACCTTCGAGACTTTCTGAGTTGAGCTGCATCTGTGGTACCAGACTTGCGTGCTCAGAGGTCTTAGGGCATCCTTTTCGTAAGAGCTTCTGCAGCAGTGGTGCACATCGCACAATTTTCTCTCTTGCTACAAGCAATCGCTTGCTGGTCGTCGAAAGCTTGTAGCCCTTGCTGGTTGAAGCATACTTGTCCGTGCGCTGCTGCACTATTGGATGGACCATGTCCAGTGCTGGGCGCCGTCGTAGTCGTTGTCGGCTGCTTCTGAAGATAGCTGGATGCGACCGAATACTTCCAATTCCGTGTGGTTTGCGAACCTGAATAATTAGCAGGATCCTTACTATAAGGGCCACAAGGTGCCACGATTAACTGAAACCCGATATAGATTGAACACTTTCGCGGTCAGAACAGGCAGTGACAGTTAGTACGTATCCGCTTTGCCACTACGCAACTGTAGGCTATATACTATACTGGACACCCAGCCTTTAACGACGAAGTAATCTGCGCACGGTGTTAGATCGTTCAATGGCATCTTTACGTGACTTACGCTCCATTTTGCAGAGGTGGTAGCGCACAAAATGCCTGATCAGTTCCTCCAAAAATCCGGATGACTTGAAAATAACGTGCACGCCCGTTCTAGACTTCGACACTAGCGAGATAATCTGCCCATCTCCTCAACTCTCCAGGCGGTGAAGGCTAGCCCTTTAACTCTGAAACCACTCGGCAGATGCGGCGAGAAGAAACAGCAACCGCGACCAGGTCAGCCGCATCGGATTGTCAAGCTCAGAAAGCATCCCCATCAGACATGTTGCTGCTGAACCCGTGCGGCCTGCGCGGCTCGAGATGGTTTTCTTTTCGTCAAATGCGTTCTGCTACGTCTCTCCTTCGGCCTTATGACCAATCGTTCGCGAAAGTACGCTCCAAATCCACTCCGGCGAGTTCAAGACGCGTTCAAGAGGCGACCTGTAAGATAGGCAGTCTGCCCGGTACATGCTGGTGGTGAACCTCACCAGCGGGATTGCGATGGACTTGGAACGCTACAGGTCTCATCTAAAGGCATGCTTCAGCTCCCTGCACCTTTTCGTGCTGCGGTGCTGCGAATTCGGAAAGACCGCATTGGCCAAGCTGCGACCACTGACGAGATTGGTTGGTTCTGAAACTCTTCTCTAGATGAAACTGCCCAAGGCAACCGCATCAGGTTCCGTAAATGGGTGTCGAGTCTTGATATGTCTTGATGGTATTTCGTGCCACTGCCTTCCTGCAACCCCACCACCTAGAACTTTAGATCGTTTGTTTCTTCGCTGTGCCTCCCTGCAGCAAATGCTAGGCACGGATGTACTGATTACAAAGCTTCCACCGACAAGCAGTCGCAGCCTCCGAAACTCGTTCTCAGTCGAGGCGAGCCAGCATCCAAATCTTTGCCGAAGTGTTGCCACGCCACGACTCGTGTCCGTGCGTCTCACGCTTTCACAAAACGGGGCTCACTTCCGCAAGAAGCCTCGGATGGGCTACGCGATGTGCGGTGGCACGCGAGGGCTCGCCCAGAGCTCGACCCTCACAGAGCTTTCTAGTCAACCACGGCTTTCTGTGATGCGACTAAGTCAAGCACTGGGCCGATGTGAAACGAGGCCTTGCAGGACCCATAAGGCTGCTTGTTGCGCATCGAGCGCTCTGGAGATGCCCGTGTCATGCCTTACAGCTGCACTCTGTTGTGCTGGGCGCAGGCCATGCTTCTCTATGCTGCCTGCGTACTCGATACTAACGTAGCGATAGCCCAGCCCCTGAGCCATTCGTCCACAAGAAACTGATCTCGTGCTTCTTCTTGCTCCAGAGCGCTCTCAGCGACCGAGCCGGAAATGAAGGCTCGAGTGCAAATCCCTCTGAGGGGGTAGGGAACCAGGATGACATTGCTAGTTGCGGTCGTTACACTGCTTTTGCTCATGAGCGCATGAACAGGCAAGACCGCTGACCTTAAAAGCAATCAGCATCAATCAGCTGTGTCCGTACCCCCACGCAGGGAAGGAGAAGGTATAAACAAACCGCAAACCTCGCCAACGACGGAAGAGGCGACCCCAAGCAATGCAGGCAACTGCAAGTCGAGCCATGTCCGGAATCTCTTTGCCATGTTAACTCCCGTTGCGAGGACCATCCCGGTGGTGTAAGTGTGGGCCCAGCAGAGATTAGGCTCACACATTCACGACGGCGGCTAAGGACGTGACCTAGCCGGGCGCAGGACGTTTGATATATCATGACGAAACGAAGCGAGTTCAAACGACAGTGCTGCTCCTCGCTGTAGGCACAAACAGTGCGGTATGTAAAAGAGTGCGACTAGCACCAGCCACTCTACTCTCTTCAGTTGGAGACGGGAAGTCCACATGATTAGAAGATGGCTCGCCTTGCATATCTGAAGGCTTCTATGGATTCACCACTCTGCCAGACCGGCATCATTCGGCGTCACTCAACGCACCGTGCGGCGAGCGGCCTGCACAAGGCAATTTTAAACCGGACCTCCAGACCTCGGTGCCTACGCGACCAGTACAGCGAGCAATGCAGGCCAACCGTGCAGCGCGACTTCTCAGGCCCGCGCCGTCGCCGCAGCAATGTGAACCTTCGTCCCAGTGGGGAGGCGAAAGTACGCATACCCTCTAAAACAAGGCTCCATCCGCCTTTCACCACCATCTTCCTGCCATTCTCATCCTCAGCTTCGATCTGTCGCTTCCTCCTCTCCTTCTCCGTCTTCGGTATCCTCCTCATCATCATCATGATCACACGAAGCATCATGATCATCAACAAGCAAGGGGAGACCTCAGCCAATACACTTCATGACGCTGGAACCTCGATGTCAACAACTTAAACTGCAAGTCCATCTTCGTGCAGAGTGGCAGCCGTGCAAGTCTGTCAGAACCCCCATAGATGGCCAGACTCTGTAAGCTCCCTGCCGGGGGTCTCACGCCCAAGCGGGTGCGAGCGCTCGTGGGATGCGCCGCGTGGGCCGTGTGGGCGGTGTGTACAGCCTGGCGGTACTGTATTCTGTGGATTTCTAATGGTATTCGATGGCATGGCATGATATGGTATGGCATGGTATGGTATGGTTGGAATGGCATTCTATAGGATATTGTGTTGCTGTGAATGCAATGTTTGTATTGTATGTCATGCGTGTAAGGTATGTACCGTATGTCATGTAAGGAATGTACGTAATGTGGGTGTAGTGTATGTTACATCCGTATATATCTGTATCATAGATACACATATGGATCACACTTGAGAACTAGCTACGCATTCTCACAACACAAAACCAACTGTCTAGATATGTCTGTGTGTGCATGCATGAATGTATGCATATGCATACCTAAATGTACCTGTTTCATCCTGCGTATGTATCTGCACATGATGTGTATGTATATGTATATGTACATGTATGTGCGTATGCAAATTGCATTGCATGTATGTATGTATGTATGTATGTATACTGTATGTATGTGTGTATGCATGCACGTATGCATGCATGTGTACAGGTACATATGACACCCCTACCCACCCCCATCCACCCCCTGCAACCTGACTTATCAAGACCAAATACACAAACTTATGCCTCTTTCATTGAGGCGGCCTTCTGGCTTCCGGAACTGCTAGAAACGACAACTTAGCAGATCATGAGCTCCTGCGACCAAGCCACGGGATGGGCCGCCGGGTGCGATGCGGAGTGCGGCACAGAGTGCGGCACAGAGTGCGGCACAGAGTGCGGCACGGAGTGCGAGGCGGGCCCAGTCGTCGCAGCCTGAAAACTTGAGGCATTCGATGGACAGGCAAAGTATTCAAGTTGCAATTGCACTCGTATTGTTTAGTCTTCTTGTAATTATTCCTATGTCCTCCTCTGAGGTGTCTTCCTAGTGGTCTCAGAAACTTTCTCCTTGAGAACCTGAAATCACAAGAGCCCTAATGAAGCCCAACGCCCCGCGAGCCCCGCGAGCCGAGCGCGGAGCCGCCCGGCGACGTGCACTCTCCGTGGACCTGCACGGGAAGACTCGAGACTCGAGCGAACAAAGTCACGATGAAAGAAAAACAATCGGAAAAGGGACCCTGCAGGATCATACTGCTCATGCTTACAACACGTAGGACCGTCGTAGTTATCGCGCTGCAAAATGCCAGCATATACCACCCCCGGAGCAGCCCTCACCCGCCCAACAGCGCGTCACGCTGTGGCAGGAGCAGGTTCTTCGCGCACGAGCACAGGCTCCAGATCGCGGCAGAACCAAACCCACGGCCGAATGGCTAAATTTCTGGGAACGGCGGGAGTTCGCAACGTCAACAAGGAGCCCAGGCACCTTGTCAGGTCACGTGGCGAAGCAGCCGTTCCGGAGCTCCGCACGGTTGCGGGTGGAGACCTCAAATGCGACTTCGGTTTTCGAGTCCAATCTGAGCTCGTGAGGGGGGACTGGGTCGGACTGGGCCTGCGACTGCCACGACGCTGTCGGCGTGCAATGGTCATAACTCGCTTCCAGGCCCCAAACTCTTGAACCCATCAAAGCACTAAAAAAAATTTGCATCGGAACGATGGGAAAGTTCGAACAAGAGTAGGTCTATGGAAGACTCAGACGACACAACTTCGTGGGATATCAGGTTTTGAGGATGCCGTGCCTATCCTTGACTGATCTCATTCGCCTTTTTCATTCCGGAGCAAGGAGTACGCCGAAGCCCAGCGATGCACCGTCTTGCAGCATCCTTAATGCTCAAATCGACTCCGACACATTGATCACAGTTCGGCAGCCGTGGCATGTGCTTTGGCTTGAGGCTCGCAAAGTACACCATGAGAAATGTCACAGGCAGGAGTGGAACGCGACTTCTTTCAAGCGAGATTCGGGTTCCAGCATGCCCTGCCTCCGACCCAGAACATTACACACGCACTCTCCGATTATACGTTCTGCAGCCGAGCAGCCAAGCATTGATAGGTGCTGCCTCACCCTCCAACCTGCCACAACGATCGCGGAATTGTCGTCAACCCGCACGCATGGATTGGGTTTTTTCGAAGGGTTTGGCACCTGCACAAAACTCACCACCAGGAGCCTTTGAGGCCAACCGACGATATTTACAGTTGTGCTTTTCCCGCCGACAGGGACGAATCCAAACATCCGGAACACGCTCCAACAATTGACTACAGCGACAGCACTACTTAAGAAAACATTGGATTTAGAAAATGAGACTCTGGATTTTGCGATCGATAGGGTTCTACATAAAATACCAAGCACTGATAAAATAAGAAAACCAGGGTACCCTCGTCCGCGAGTCTCATTTTCTTATTTCGTTCTGTCATACTCGTGGTCTTTAGCTGGGTTCTGGAAGGAAGGAGAACAAGAAAATGCCAGAGTCTCGTTTTCTTATTTAGGTGGGTTCTGGAACGAAGGAGAATAAGAAAATGCCAGAGTCTCGTTTTCTTATTTAGGTGGGTTCTGGAACGAAGGAGAATAAGAAAATGCCAGAGTCTCGTTTTCTTATTTAGGGGGGTTCTGGAACGAAGGAGAATAAGAAAATGCCAGAGTCTCGTTTTCTTATTTAGGTGGGTTCTGGAACGAAGGAGAATAAGAAAATGCCAGAGTTTCGTTTTCTTATTTAGGGGGGTTCTGGAACGATGGCGGATCCTGGGGCCTCCATTGAGCCTGATACAGCCTCGTTTGGAGGAAAACTGTTTGAACGACTGTAGAACGGGATACGGTGCTGCATTATGACTGCGGTTGAAGATTTATGCCTTCATTTCGAGATCTTGGGCCTGTTGGGTTTGATGTTTGGGGCAAGTCTTCGCTTGTTCATCTGGGGGTCTTGGGCCCTGGACATAGCTATATAAGAAAACGGCCTTAAGAAAACCAGACTACCCTGACCCATCCCAGATTAAATATTCCAATGAAACCAGCCGCTATCAAAATAAGAAAACCAGACCACCCTCGTCCCAGAAAGTATTTTCTTATACAGCGCTCCCGCTGTACAAGATCCACAAACGTTGAGGAGTCTGAATTATGTAGCAACATTGAGATGAGACTTTCAATGGGCTGAATGAACCTCCGGAGCTCGCTGAACTCGGCGAGCCAGTCATCCTGCACTCTGCTCAAGCTAATCATATCCGAAGCATTCTAGACTAATACTAAACGGCATTCATTGTCATTACATGGCAATTGTTCATGTTTATGTTTGCACACAACATGCATGCGAAGCGCTGATGGTGCTGGCATTCCATGCTGATGTCGGCCGCAGTGTGCTGCATTGTGCGACGACGACGACGATGATGAGGGTGCTGGTGGTGCTGCTTGTGCAGCTGCTGCTGTTGCTGCTGCTGCTGGTGGCGGCGGCAGTGGTGGTGGTTGTCTTGGTGGTCGTCCTAGTCGTCCTCCTGGTGGTCGTGCTGTTCCTGCTGATGCTGCTGTTGCTGCTGCTGCTTCTGCTGCTGCTACTGCTTCTGCACTCTACCAGCTCAAGCGGATGCGAATTGTAGCCGCTGAATCACCACAGGACAGCCTGTGCACGGCCCAACCATTTCAGATCCTAGCAGATCCTGGTCCTCCAACCCCTTTCCACTCTTTTAGATCAGGTTTCGAATGGTAGTGCTGTCAAATTTGTATTGAGACACACGGAGTCTCAGTCTTTTCTCGCACTCGGTGGTGATACAGGCACGCAAAATTGCAGGCGTTATACACGAGCCAGCTCAGTCCCAATTCCGGGGTTCCCGTCTTACCGCACGGTGGGGGAGTTCGAAGTGCTTGCAGCTTGGGCGAAAAAGCGTGGATGGATTTTTCAGTCGCAAAACAAATCTTTGGCTTCTTGAATATTCCATTTTTACAAAGACATGTTTTCAGCATGTCTACAGATGCTCACCGCCGAGGCAGCCCCACCATGCCAAGTGACTGGAAAAGGCTCATGAATCCCTGTATTTAGTTCGGTATTGCTCACAGACTCCACGGAAATTTGCTTGTTCCGTATCACCAACTTGGGATGGTCGCAGATACTTGCCAAGATCAGCGACGGGGATGTATTGTTTACTTCTACTTTCTATTTTCATAGCCAGGGAAAGCCAATGTCTACAGTGGTCCCACCTTGATAAGTCTCTTGGTCAAGCAGCGAACTTCGAAATCCAACTAACAACAACAACTCAACAACAACAACAACAACAACAACAACAACAACAACAACAACAACAACAACAACAACAACAACAACAACAACAACAACAACAACAACAACAACAACAACAACAACAACAACAACAACAACAACAACAACAACAACAACAACAACAACAACAACAACAACAACAACAACAACAACAACAACAACAACAACAACAACAACAACAACAACAACAACAACAACAACAACAACAACAACAACAACAACAACAACAACAACAACAACAACAACAACAACAACAACAACAACAACAACAACAACAACAACAACAACAACAACAACAACAACAACAACAACAACAACAACAACAACAACAACAACAACAACAACAACAACAACAACAACAACAACAACACCAAACAACAACAACAACAACAACAACAACAACAACAACAACAACAACAACAACAACAACAACAACAACAACAACAACAACAACAACAACAACAACAACAACACAACTTTGCTTTCTACGCTGCAAGTACTTCTACGTGCGAGCTTTGTTCTGGGGGAGGTTAAGGTGCAACCTGGTCATAGTATTGGTCCTCGGAAGCTGTGGAACGCTGGCGCTCTGACGTGTGTCATACACCCTTATTTGCTTGTCTCTTTTCATAACAACGAGCTTTTATTCAAGTTGCATCTCTTCCAAGACGATGGCGAGCCAGACGCTGGGCAATCAATGCAAGGGTCTTAGCCCGTTTAGGATTGCGATTGTACGGCATCCAGGTATTCAGGCCGGACCTGTCAGGTCTGTGACTGCACACTCAGGATTACATGGGCTTGCAATCGTAGTTACGAGTCGGATTTGCCTAGTAGTCCCGTTCGTCGGGTATGGCTTTTTCTGCAAGGCCCAGTAGTCCCGTACGTCGGGTAAGGCCGGACATGCTGTCTACTGCCAAGCTGGTAAACTCTGCCTAATAGGTCCCGTTCGTCGGGTGAGGCAATTCTGAGGCCTAGTAGTCCCGTTCGTCGGGTGAGGCCATGCCATAGCACTGTTGTGCTAAGTTCCTTTTTTGAAGCAACAGTTGGTCCTTAGGCAGTCCTAAACCCAGACTGGTGAGGTAGCCTTCTGGTCTAAGACGCCCACTCTCCACACCAGAGTACTTTGTTGATGGAATGCTACTGCTGCTGCATGGAAAGAATAGTCCTCTGCGGCAGCGGTGGCGTCCCTTCGTAGATTAACTTCCTGATTGGAGGTCTGCTGTACTTGCACGGGTCGTATGCTTTAGTTCTATTTCTCGTTTACTCTGCTTGAAACAAGCTCGGCAGCCGAGCAACACCCGCAGGTTCTGTGAGGGATACCGCTAAAAGTCCTGTTTAGCGAACAACTGCGCGTGCTGCGTCCGCGGACCGGCGCGCAGGTGCAGTTTTGGGCTCCACGGGCTGAGTCCACGGACCGCCGTGAAGCAAGTCTTGCTGAGCTTTTGGCAGATAGCTGCGAGGCAAAACTGCCAGCTATGGGGACGTTACTAGCTGCTTTGCTTGGCCTTTTTTGGCCCGTCAAGCTTCTTCCTTTCTGCCTAACTTGGTCAGTTTGGGTGTTGATTTGATAAAAACCTTGCCCCATAGCTGGCCAGTTCATGAGCATTAGCCGTCAATAGCCCGATGCCCGCCAAGGTGCGGGACTACCCGCACGAGCGTCTGAATAAATGGATGCTACTGCTGCTGGTGGTATCTGGTGGTGCTGCTGGTGCTGCTACTGCTGCTACTGCTGTTGGTGCCGTTGGTGCTGCTCTGGTGCTGGCTTTGTGGCTTTGTGCTGCTGGTGCTGCTGGCGATTGTGCTGGCAGTGGCGGTGTGGCGGCGCGGGTGGTGCATGGTGATGGTGCACGACGACGACGACGGCGAGGAATCAAACCACCGCACAGCTGAGATGGGAGGCTCACACAGCCATGCTCTCAACTCCCTCTTCTACCAAGCAGCTAAAATCTGAAAACATCCAAGCATGTATCTTGTTGCTGCTTTCAGGCTGAAGCGAAAACCATAGCCTCACCCAGCCCAGAAGACGGCTCCTCAATCGAGAGTTGCACCCATGGTGGCTCCTGACACAGAACATCTGCTGCGTTTGCTCGTATTGCAAGCTCTCCCCAGGTGGGCAAGGTCCTCCAGCTCAGCGACGACGTAGTCGCCCCGACGCTTCATGCCCAGTATGGCCCCATCAGGTTTTGGAGCATCGCGAATGGCAACCACACCTGCATGAGACAATCGAGAGAAGTTGCCACGATAGCTGTTGGTCGCCTAGTTAAGGAAAAGTGGAACCATTGCTTCTGAGCAGCAATGAGACGCAACCCGTAATGGCTCCCCATGCCTCTGGACCGCTTTCACATCTCTGTCCAGACCCTAGGGCCCAGCACCCTGCGCCTCTGTGGACTCCCTCTGCCACGACACGCAGCAGGCGAAGCCCTGCAGAAGCCGCACGGCCACGCGGAGAAGAGGTCGCGACCCTAAGCGATTGCGGCATTGGATGTTTGGAGCCCCTAAACCCTAAATTGTTTTGGAGTTTTGCTCGGGGCATCTTTGCTGCATCAGGCAGGAGGAGCGCGGCGATGCCTTGGACTTTTTACTGAGCCCAGCACAGGCTAAACTTGAACCCCCCGAAAACCCTACGGGCCCTAAACTGCTCTAGCCCCAAAAGCCTGAAACTCCAAGCTCTGATCTCTTGAACTCCCAGTCCCAGGCTGATCTCGTGCCGGGCCTGCTTCGATGTTCCATGCAGCGTTCCTCGGGCGGAGGAGGCTCGAAGAGAACCTGCAAAGCTCAGTCTCTTTGTATGATACCAATAAGACTTGATAGGAATCACAATAAGAATAACAACGATCATTACGGCAAGCATTCCCTGTGCAGGGGATCGTGCTGGGACTTTCGTCAGGTTGACCGGGACTTGTTGCAAGACTCTTTGGCAAAGCTTCCGCCTCAGAGGCCGTCAGACTGCGTATTAGCCCACATGCGCACGTGTGTCTAGTGAAGGTAAGTGGCAAGCCCGGGTGAAACGCTTGAAACTCCCCGGAGAGCAGCCTCTGCACCCGCAAACCAGGCACTGCCCTGGCAGCGTGCAGAGAGAAGCCGGTGGAAGAGTCTTTGGCAACCTTCGCTGCTCTGGGCCCGAGGAGTTCTTTACAAACTTCCTGTTGCGAAAGCTTAGGCAGCCAGGTCTCTGCTGCCATCCTCGCAATCGGGTGCGCCATGACCATCGCAGCCGCATAGATGAAAGAACAGGCCTTGCTGGTGACAGCATGAGACGCAAGAGGCCTTGGCACTGATTGCCATCAAGGCTCCTTCGCTGGCAAGGCGCCTAGCCCGGAGCTGTGCGGCGCAGTCCTCGAACTGTAGCAGAATTCCACGCTTCCCTCGTGAAGCCTCTGTCTTCCAGAAGCCGCCGTAAGCCTCGAGACCTGGCCCCTGGCAGTATCTTGTTCATTCCCGGCTGCGCGGGCACTCGGACGGTTCAATCCGCATACATTCAGCTGGAAGTCCTCCAGCTCTACTCCTCCTTCAGCATCCAGCTGCAAAATCAGGTCCAATCGCAGATCCTGCAACGAGAACTGGGCTTGACCTTTCACGACTCCAAGCCTCGTCTCAGGCTTTCCCCCAAATGAGTACGCTCCTTCCCAATGCATAGTCCTGCGCTGCGCTCGTCTCGAAATCTGCCAAGCTCGCGTAAGCTGCAACGGAGGAAGCGGAGAACCAGTCTCGGAACGCCTTCCACCGAGCTTGGGCTTCGAAGCAAGCAGAATACGTCAACTCCGAAGAGGCCGAGATCCAAACAAGATGAGTCCACCCCTGCCCTCACCTCCAGGGCACCACGAGCCAGTCGGTGCTTCTCAAGCGAGGCAGCACCTGTGGGCGAGGTCTGCGCTCCACGATGTGAAGCTTGAAATAAGCTCAGCCAGGCAAGATCAAGAGTGAAGTCTCAGGACTGATGGAGACATGTCCACGAAATTCCTAACTTTCCTGTAGGGAACAAAACCACAGCCTCTTGGCCGCTGTTTGTTGTGCATTCCGCTGAATTTTCAGCCTGTTCAACTGTTGGCCTTCTTGTTTCTCTCTGGCCCCGATGAAGCTCTTCTGCCCTCCTTCCGTGTTTCACCCACCGAAGTGTTCTATACAGGCACTTCTTCATCCACAATGCCAAACAGTGAACCGTATTGGGCTCCTGGTCCCAGGTCCCACCCTGTCCCCTGGCAGAACTGCCAACTCAGACTTTGAAGGGTTGTGCTTGGACGTCGGCAATTGTGCAGACCCTGTCTGAACAATGAGGAGACACATGCCCCTCCGTCGCTGCCACACCCTCGCCTGAAGTCGGAGCGCCGTAAAGGGGATCGACAAGGTGAATGGAGGCGAAAATGATGTCCTGGCCTCAGCCTAAGGTTTAGGAGCTTACAGGCGGGATGGGCATTCAGGTCTGGAGGCCTGGACCCTGGGCTCTTCGGGGCGAGCGCAATGTCAAAACTACGTGCAGTCCGACAATCAAGATTATCTCAACCACAAGTCACACCGGCACCCCACCCCAGAGCCAACACTACAGCTTGTATGCTTGGCGGAGCAGCTGGTCTGCAATGCTTCCAGCACCTCCCACTCAAAGAGGAGGCCGCCCGAGCCAATTGCCAGAGCTGTCACCTTATGCAGAGAGAACAGAGTGGTACCAGTAGGGAAACCCAGCCGTTTGGCCAGACGGCACTGCAGGAAACGGTGCAAGGAAGCAATCGCGACCTGTGAACTGCAGGGCAGATGGCTGAAAGAAAAATCACAGTCTTGCGACCGCGGCACTTCGGAGTGGAGCTTCGCAGCTTTGCACTGCTCCATGGCAAAAGCCACAAAAGCCGGCCGTACCTGCCAAGCCCCTGCTGCACAAGCAAACAACGAGACAGAAGGACACAAAGAACGAACAGAAAAAGCAGAGGTCTTTGAAAAGGCACCTCCGGGTGAGCCAGGCGATGGGTCCCACAGCGAACGTCTGCACACTCCTGCTGAGGCCGCTCTCTGAGCTCCCCCCAAACAGAAAGCAAAGGACAGTGCTGTGCTGTGCTGCGCTCCCCGAGGGCAGCAAGCCGGGAGCTGATGGGGGGACGCAAGGCCCCGTCCCGCAGTGTGATGCCTGCAGGACTGCGGTGCCATGCTTGGAGATGTTTTTCAGGCTGCCTATGGCTAGTACGACTCACATTACCCATCCTGTGTCTAGCTTCGAAAGAAACTGCCGTCAACTGCCATGCGAGCTACACAAGCTCTAAATATGCTGGCTGCGTCATCGCTTCTCCGTTCGAAACACTTCTTTATTGGGTTGGCTTTTAGCCTTTAGCCTGCCTTGCAACACGATAACGGCGATGGCAAGCCAGGTCAAGCCGCGGCTTGTGGACATTATCCGTCTCAGCCCTTGCCATGATTTTGGAACCCGACAGGAATTTCTTTATCTTCACACCGGCAGACTATCGCAGACTCTGAGCGCGGGCTCTGCCTCCGAGCGCCGCGACGCCGCCACGCCCCGGCAGCCATGATGCCATGGCCAGGGCGCAGGGCCAGGGCCCCACTCAAAGACGGCCATCACAACAGCCACTGTCACAATGCGTCTGCCCTATGCCGATAGAACCGACGGATGTAACACGCCGCAGAACGGTGCAACAGAACAAAAGCATGTAGCAATGACGATAGATTGACGCTGAGTTGGCTTTCGTGCTTGTCCAAGCTCGGCTCAAGACGGCTCCTGGCCCACAAATCTGTGACCCCGAACCGAGTATGCCGAGTGACAGGTTCCCTGCACTTGAAATTACACTCCCGACTGCAGAAATTCTTGAAGCTATGCAGTCGCCAGGTCCCCGACGACGTGTGCGGAACGTGCGGAGCAGCGGTGGGCGTTGTGCGGCGGACCGGCGGAGAGGGATCCTCCATTGGACGCAGGAGTAAAGCAGGGCGCGCCGTAGGTTTCTGCAACTACAACACGCAAAAGCCGAAAATCCTTTCCCACCTTGGCCAGGATGCGGTGCATCAGGGAGCCCGAGTTGCTTGATTTCGCCAGGCTGCCGGGACGTGTCCTTGGGATTTGGGCTACATTTGTCTCAAGAGATCTCAATAGCAGCAGAGATACAGCCGCAGGTGGCTGAGGTCCCAGCATTGTGGTCCGAGCAGACATGTTCGGAGAGACCTGCACATGATTCTCCTTCAACAACTGCACTCTTGCATGAAAGTCCGGTGCAACGTGCTCCGCTGGAAGCTTTGTCCTCACACGCAACTGTTTGCAAATCCAAATGCGCCATAATGCCAAGCCAAATGGCCACGTTGGAGAGACAAGGCAATCTGATCTCGTGAACGCCAGGCGTACAATACAAATGAGCGCTGCCTTCCTTGCACACCACAAAAAGTTCGAAAAGATCTGAAGCCATGAGACTTGAGCCCTCATCCCACCATACCAGTAGTGCCTTTGCGGAAACTGCCGAGGCTGGACGGACTGAAGGCTTCGACCTTGCAGCCGTGTGAAGGTCTCTCTTACAGGGTTGGGTCAGTGTAGACAAATTGCGTTGCAAGAGCTGCGTTTAGGCCCAACTGTTGCTCTGCTCGCTGGCAAGAGTGGGCTTCAGGTGCTAGCTCCGAAGCCTCTAGCATACAGAACAGCAATACCTGCTCCTTCTTGCGTGTCGGGAAAAGCTCTCTGCCCGACGCAGACACACAAATGCATTGACTCGAAGGCACAAGGCACACAGGCTAGATTCTACATCGCAGCGGTCGTCCCACGCGATCAGTCCACATCCGCGACACTACAAAAGAGAGACCAACTAAACACCTCGAAAGCCATCCTGGACCTCCACATCCTTTGCTGCGGCCCTGGCCCGGCTTGCGTGGCAGCTGCAACCTGCGGGCCGCTCTCTGGCACTCCTTTTCGTTTCTCCAACTCTGCGGATCTCTGCGGTCTGCAAGGCATCAAACCCCACATCACCACCATCGTCCACCCCACACCACTGCCATCATACTCTTGCTGGCGGCAGGCCGCAGGCAGGCCGCGTGCTTCTAACCTGGGTCACAGCACCTGCACAAAGCATCCGTGCCAAAGCAAGCCACGGGGCCTTATTGGCAACAGCAGCAGCCACTGCTGCATGGTTGTGCCTTGGGTTGAAGTTCTCAACTGTTCAGAGCAGCTTAGAGTTTTCGCGCTGCCACAACGCAATCCTGAAAACTCCGACTCTGTCCACACTGACCCCCGAGATTCCCATGGCTTCCGGCCCGGAGGATGAGGAGGACGTGCCGGGTGTTGCACGCCGTGCCGAAGGTGGCGAGCTCTCCATCTGGCAATGAGCTTTCCGAGTCTAGGATGCGCTTATGTGTCCTTCTTCTTTCCTGGACTATAAGTAGTTTTCTTCATGCAGTACCCAGTATCTTGTGCGACCTTGGACGAACTCGCTGGCGGTGAGGCAGGTGCACGAGCAGGACGGGTCCCAGTCCTGTCCGAGTTCAGACCCGAAGAACCATGTGTCTCGCAGCGTGCCCTCGTGTTCATGAACTCTTCATATTCAGTGTTCAGTGACGATTGCGGAAGGTGATGGGACTTGCAAAAACAGCAGGATTACCAGCAAACTCTTACAACCGTCGACGACAAGGCTGGCCGCCTAGCTGAACTCGGATAGCCGCCGCTGGTCGTGCGTGGCCTCGTCACTTCAGCGAATTTTTGACCTGTGGGTGAACTGAACCTGCGCCTCGAGCCGTGGATTAACCGTGTCTGGCAAGGATGCTTCGCAGTAACCCAGTAACCCGGGACCCGGCGAAGCAGGAGAGGCCATTGCGGCAGCTGGCCCGCCCACCTGAGAACCCCGCAATCCCATCAGCCGCCTAAAACTTTGAGGACTCTGACCACTTCACTTCTGTCCGTCGTGAGCGCCCTTGCAAGCGCTCGGTCACCATCTTGCGACAGAACTGGAAAGCCGCGGAGACAGAAGCACGAGAGAAGCAGCACGGAAAATCTTGGCCCCCGGCCCGAGGATTGCATGGTGTCCTGGCGCTGGTCCTCCAGCGCTCTAAGCCGAACTGAAAGAGATGCAGAAGCCTAAGCGGCCTAAGCGGCCTAAGCTGCCTAAGCCTGAAGCTGCATCCTTCGCTCTGTGCGAAGACGAGGGGCGTCCTTGGAGTCGGCGTCGGCTTGCTGGCCTGGGCCTGGACCTGGGCCTGGGCCTGGGCTGACGTTGGTGGCGAGGCGCACCTGGAGCTGAGCAGCATTTCTGTCAGGCTGTCAGGCTGGTGCCACTACGTCGCACATGTCAAAGCTGCAGTCGCTAGGGAGATCAGGTCTGGCTCAGGCGGCATGATTCCTTCCCCACTGCCCCTTTGCGCCTTCGCACCTTGGGAGGCGTCGGTGCCGGTGCCGTAGCTGGCAGAGGGTGACAAATGACTAGGGCATACTGCGCAGAGGTTGGAGCCTTTACTTGTGGAGTCGGGTCAGCTTCAATAACTATGATGATGAGTCCACACCTTCAACGCAGGACCCCTCCGGCCCTTTGCCGGAGCCCTCTGCAGTGCAGCAGCACAAGCACGGCCTGGTGGAGCTGCGGTGGATGGGCTTCCTGCAAAAGCCGAGGACAGAGTACGAGCACCACAGTTTCACATCGAGCCCACACCAAAGCACAAAGGAAACGGCACAGACACTGCACACTCTCAAACAAGTTCGTCCCGGCATCCTTTGATAAGCTGATTTCCGGAAGGTTAGTTGCCGTATCTCCAACATGTCTGCAAGCCAGTGAGCGGAAGTGATTTCAGCTACCCCTAGGCCCAACCCCCAGACCTGGCTGGTTTGCGAGGATGGAGATGTGGTCGCTGCAGGCAGAGCCCTGAAAAGCTTGGCAAGAGGGGCTCCAAAAGTCAGAGGATTCATCTTTGTTGCACTGGAGCCCCGAGATTCGGACCGTGCCGGCTGCAGCATCACCGCCGGGTGGTATTGGAATATCGCCTCGTAGCAACAGCTTGGTGCCCCGGGCTCCTGCCTATGTTGTAGCTGTCACAGCAAAGGCCCTGACAGTCAAACATCGCAGATACGTAGTCCGCCTGCGGCAAGGGGAAGGGTGACCGGCAGGGACCCAGTTTCCGACAAACGACCAGAAAGCTCGCTTAACCTCGCACACTGTGCACGATGATGCACCACCAGGATAACCGCGAAGCAGCATGCACCCATCTTCATTCCGATACAAGTACCACTCATGGCTCTCCCAGTCTGGCAGTGAGGCTTTCTCGCACACATCAAGGCGTGTCGTGCGTCACATGTCACAACTTCACATCAAAGGCTCACCGGTCCCCTGCGGCTCTCTCTGCCAGCTACGCAAGCCCCGTGCAAGCTCTCTTCTCAGAGTCCTCTTGTACAGAGCCAATGTGCCAGTGTAGTGCACAGGGACCTGACCCAAGCCACAACGAAGGCATCTTAGCCCAGCTGAGCGCCAGCTTCGTGGCGCAGTGGCAGTACAACGGGCGGCATTCGAGTCTGGGAGTGCCCAGTACGCCGCGCAGGTGCTGCGTGCAGTGTATGCCGCACGGAGTGTACCTCATTCCTCCCTTCAAGCTGACTCAGGAAACCATCAGGGAATTTGCCAATCCACACTGAAAGGCTGCAAGGGTGGGGGAAAGGACCTGGTACACCCACCGCGAGCAATCCCCGTGTCTGGGCCTCTTGCCCATCGTCACTGAGGCTGAAACCACAGCTGGGTTTAGGCAGCGTTTCAGCCTCGTTCAGCTTTCGCAGCCTCGTTCTGTTCGCAACTTCTGCTATAGTAACGGCGCTGGCTTATGCGCGATTCCTACGACTGATCTCTTCAAACTGTGGACAGATCCGTTGGAAAGGCTGTGGCAAACATACGCCATGCCCGTAATTATTCAGCAGTTCTCTCCGCGCATCTCCGCGCAGAGCGATGTCAGCAACTCCTTCAGCCACGGACGGTACATGCCACACACAGGCAAGGATGGAGGGAAGGCAGAAGGTTGGCATCAGAACGCATCAGTCAAGGGCACCCGTCCTAGGGCGATCCGGAGGCTCGACCACTTTCCTTGAGAATGGGCTTCGGCTTAGGCTAAGGCACAAGTGCTCCCCGTATCTGACGGAGAACCACTGCCGAAAACAAGTCGCAGTACAGGACAGGTCAGGGCCTGAAGGGTCTAGGACCTAGGAACTCGGCTTTCGGGACTGTGTGGAGTGCTTCTCTTGAAAGGCCGCGTGTTCGGCCAGCGGGTCAGCTGTTGTGAAGCCAGTTTTGGGCCCAACCCCGAAGCAAGGATGGCGCTAATCAAAAGCTAAGGAGCAACCGCCGGCTTCTTTTCACCGATGACCTGCCAAACCGACCACGAACGAATCCCACGCTGGGAAGTACCAGCAGAAGGAGAAAACACTGTCGCCACTAGAGCTACACTTTCAGGCTCGTGTTGAAGCTTGCATCCTGCCAAATCGAACCCAGCCTAACAGGCAAGAACCCTTCTGTTCTGATGATGTCAAACCTTTCCCGCGGCACAACTGCAAAGCCTGCACGACCAGATCTTTTAATCCTGTAAACTCCGTCCTGAACGTAATTACAGTGACAGCTGCAAGCAATCACCCAAACCCTACGCATGGGCGATGGCCCAATCATGCCCAATCTATCAGCCGTGCCTGAAAGTCGTCATCGCTCGTTAGAGTAAAGTCCAAACGCAGTGAGGGCGCCCTCGGCCTCATGTAACCTCCCGAGCATTACAAGCCGAGGGTACTGGGCCACTCTTGCGACCTGGGCTGGGGGTGCTTCCTCCTTGGCATTGTGATGCAATTTGACATAAGAAGCTTCACTTCGGTGCTTGTTCGGCCTGACTGCGGTCTGCATCCCATGCAGATCGAGCAACCAGTCCCACCGACAAATCCCAAAGCACAACATGCGAAGACACGTGAAGGAATATCGCCTTCCATAGGCATCCCTGGATGCTCTACAGACTGGGTCGGCATGACTTAACGTGACTCTGTCAGGCACGTCACTCTGCTCTAATCGGTCGCATGGGAGACTGCACTGCCAGACAACAAGTCAGTTGCTGCGCGCAGTTGGCCTTGCACACCCAGGCACACAAACCAGCCCTCAGTTTACAATGAGCACTGGCAGCTGCATGCCGCGACCGCCGCCCACAGTGTGCTTGCTCCGTTACAAACCCGATTTAGAACTCGTCTTAAGACTTGCAAGCATGCAAAGTTCGGTCAAGCGTCATAGTCGCCAATGGCAGTCACCCACCACCTGAGAGTCTTCAGCGACAAGGCAGCCTCCACTACAGCAATGGCGCATGCCCGTTGAACTGTGCTTTTTCGACAAATTCAACCGTTGCACAACTTCACCGGTTGCAAAGCGCTGCACAGAGCAAAATTTCGACTGACATGGTTGATGTCCCCACGGACCTCATGTGAAGCTTCATGTAAGCCTTCCGTGCAACGAAAGCTTCGGACGGGCTAAACTCCCTTCTGCAAAGGGTGTCAAAAGCAAAGACAGCTGAGAGTTTCGCATCCAGGAGCCCCCCTACTTATGTGTAAAGCACACGACAAAGACCAGTTCTCTCCTTGAACAAATGTGTTCGGTGCAACACAAGCCCGTAGTAAGTCCTGCCCAACACCAGGCTTCTTGTAGCCGTCGTACTTCCCACACAGCCGGCACTGTGTGCAACAACTACCATCTGTCTGATCAACTCCTTTACGGCAGACAGCAGTGAAATCCCTAAGGCCCAAACGGGATTGGGCCAGGACCAGACTCCTGGCATCGGGATAGTTTGCTTTAAGACGACGGCCCAGAACTACATCTGTCCATCCGTCTCTTCTCGCCAGAGCTGGCCTCCGAGTACGTCAGGAACTGGACCACGGCGCACAAACCAAACCTCGGTGATCCAACCCGGAAGGCTCCAGAAGAAGAGCACTTCAGTTCGCTGGCACTCTGAGCCAGGGTAAAAGGAGTAAATCGGCATGTAAGGGGAAAAGCTGCGGGTTCAGGTCCAGCGTGCAGGGTTTGGGGGTCTCAGTGCACTAAATTGTCCGCAAACTGCTGCCGTTCTGCGTACACAGACCTGAAAGAGATTTGTGGTCTCTCTTCTGCCAGCCGTGAGGCATCAAGGAGAAGAAGCCGAAGATGCCGATGAAGGCATGGGAACCTCCGGAAATGACTTAAGCGTTCAGGCTCACAAGAAAGCAGCTCCCGAGCCCGGAATCAGCTCTCAAGCTCGCCTCGCGGGTGGTACTTCACGTCCGTTGTCACGAAGTTAGCCACATAGGCGAAATACCCAAACCTGGTGGAATCATGATTCTTCCTGTCTCGGGGGCAGCAGTGAGCGATTCGAAACTCCAGCCTGGTCTTGGGCCTGGAGCCTCTTGACGCCGGCTTGAGGTCAATAAAGGCTCTGCTGAGTTGGGCTACTTGCTTGGAGTAAGGCTTCCGTCTTTGCTTGGCAATCCGGTCTCGGACAGCGACGGTTCCACATCCCAGCAGAGCGGCACGACCAGCTGCACGAAGGAGAAGGTGTGCAAAGTCGCGTTCTCCACCGGGTCACACACGAAGATCAGGATGCAGGCCATCCTAGACAGGTGTTAATGAACTCCCTGCTTTCAGCACTCAAGATCAGCCTCTACTGAAGTTGCTTGCTTCAAAGCCCAGCCAGAGCAGAATTCTGCCAGGCTGCCAGCTCAGCGTGCTGAAGAAGTTGACGATCTGGGACAAGGCTGAGAGCTGAAATCCCTCATGCGCACCAAAACTTCCAAGGCTCTGGCCATGACTATTTGGTCCTGGCAACTAAGGAAAAAACACAATGAAACTGCGAGAGAAAACCCTGCTCGAAAGCGAAGGGCGCTCCTCGTTCCGGTTGCTGGATGGGTCGATCGCAGCCCGCTGATAGGACAGCTGCATGAATCCTTGTATGCGGCAGTCCGAAGATATGAAAAAGCTGGGACAAGAACATTGCTGTCCGGCCGAGTTTCGCGACTCAAAGAAAACGATGCCCTTAGTTCAAAGAAAAGATTCGCTTAATTGCACACGCACTATTAGCTTTGGCTTCTACATAGCTGGGACGTTGCCCATTGTTGAAAACTCCGCTGGTAACTGTGCACTTCCCGAATCCCACAGGCCCCCAAGAAGCTATCGCGACCGGGATGCTACGAAGATAGGGGCAGCAACATACTTTGCTGGTGCCATATCCCATCCAACGCAGAGGTTGTTGTACCCCACACGCCTCAAGATTGGACAGCTCGCAGTCCCATCCAACGCATCGACGAACAATTTCAACCCACAGGAATGGACATGACTGGACCCATTGACACCTCTTCAGCTGGTTGTCTTTGATGATGTCGGGATCCTCGGAACATGGTCAAGGGTTTGACTCTCTACAGGATTCGTCTCCAGAGGAAGCTCCAATCAAGAGCCATCCCGATGCCCTATGCAGAGTTCCCGAAGGTAGGCGAAAAAGGGCGTAGTGCGAAACTGCTGCAGCTGGGCTGCATAGATGTACCTGAGCAAGGGTCGAGTTGGAAGAACGGGTTATCTCACAGAGTAACACAGAGATTCCACCTCCCCCCAACCGAAGCAGCTTGAAGAATCCCCGATCAACGGCCAACCGGCGTGATTCGGTGTAGCCCAGTCGCGTGAGGACCCAGCTGAGGACCATTGCGATCACAAGCCTGAACCAACATGGCCGAAAAAACGCTTTCTGTGCGGGAAAGGTTTTTCTTTTGGCCAAAAACAAAGATCTCTGAACAAAATCACGAAGTACGGACCCCTCGTGCCCTGCGAGATGTCGCCAAAAAACGATACAAGCTTGGCCCAATCCTTGCTAAAGCTCAAGCCCTCCTACTAGTACTGTTCGTCAAGGATCGCATTGTGGCGGCGCACATCCCCCACTCCACCCCTGCCCTCAACTTTCCTTTGAACCCATCCAGCTCTGCCGTGTCACAGCTCGCCACCAGCAGCTGCGTAGTCCTGGAGAGCTGGAGGCCGCAAGGGCCCTCTGTTCCAAAACAACCCGAGAACGACCGGCTGGCCGGCTGGCCGGAACACCGCGGAGGCCTTGAACCCCTGAAGAACGGATATCGCATCCCGGGGCGGCTCCTCTGGGTTGAGGATAAGTGACTTGCCAGGCGCGGCAGCTGCTCGCTTCTGGATGATGCTAATGAACCTCAGAGCACACTTCGCAACTCCTAGAGTATCGTGTAAACGATCCCACCAGCCATACTCCGCTGTCAGCACCGGCACCGTCTAAGGGTCGCACTTCATCTGGCCTCTGTCGCCTGCAGCTGTTCAAAACGCATGTACGATGTAATTGCAGCAGATGGTAGGAAGATTCACAGTTCCCGTGGCGAACGCCGATGTACATGCAACACGGTAACACGGTGCTGGTGCTGACATCTTCTCAAGGCTTCTCTGCATCAACATGTCGACTGTCTCAGCATGCTCCTCAGTGATCCAACTATGCTGCCGGTGCCGAAAACACTGCCAACGCCACTCAAAGATATATCTCAAAGCATGGCATCAGATAAGCTTGAGCTGTATATACTTGGGCCTGCTGGGAACTCCACCCATGTCTCCCCAAACCCCGCCGAGCCTCTTGGGCGCTGGCCCTAATGGGCCACGGCCACACCAGTACGCGTTAAACACTTTGAGCAAAGAGCCAGGGAAGAAGCGAAGGCAACGCAATTGGCCTGTCGGACATTGAACGCAACATGCACACATGCATACAATCGTCCACAAATACAGCCTGAGACAGACACACAGACAGAAAGACAGACAGAAAGAGATACCTACACACACAAATATTTGCACACACACGTGCATTCACACTCTCAGACACACCTGCATGGATCTGAATTCAGCGCGTGTGTGCATACACAAACACGCAGGAATGTAGACATCTGCTTGACCGAGAACATATGCGAGCAGTGATCTAGACTCTTCGAGTGTGCACATGTGTGAATCCGTACAGAGCCATATGTACACCTGCACGCATGTATGCATGTATGCATGTACATAGTTATATGTATATTTCGATGTGTGTATATATATATATATACGTATTTGTATGTATTGTTGCAGGATTTTTGTATGCATGCATGGATGGATGCATGCACGAAAAGGTATATGCCCACCCATGTATATATATATATATATATATATATATATATATATATACATGTACATGTCCATGCACGCCTGTTTGCGTGTGCACGTGTATATGCATGTGTATGTATGTCTACGTACATGCATATGCATATGTGTGTATATGTGCATGTTTGTGCATCTATGCGCAAGAACCTGCATACTCATGTGCGTGTGCATGTGGATATGTGTCTGTGTGGATGCGTATGCGTCTATGTGTGGATATGTGTATGTGGATGCGCGCGTGTACGACTGTACGTATGTGCATGTGTACACAGGGGCATATCTCTGTATACAGAAACATACACGGTGCATATGTACATATATGTATGTAGATATATCTGTGTATATGCAGACGGACATGCATACGCACACATGCATGCGCGTGCATGCATGCAACTATACATGCATGTATGAGTGCGCTGGACTGTGGGTGTTCCTCTGTGTGTGGGTGCATGTACAGGTATCATGCAGTGCATGTGCCATTCTTACTAGCTAAGTGGGCAGCCAGAGGTTGTCGGCAAGAACTCGGGTGACTGCGTCTACTTATGTCTGTATGTCTGTGCATGCATGCATGAAAGCGGACGGATGTTGAATGTATCTGGTCACGTAGGTTTTTAAATGGCTGGGAAAAGTCGGCGTGCGCATGCATCAGCAAGCGTGTAAACAAAAGCAGAAGCGAAACTGTAATTAGTCATGCTTACAAGTCCTCGACCCACGTCCACTACATGCTTACCTTGTTCGAACCACATATACATTGGTAGCCTCCAGCCCCACAGACATATCAATTCTTCACGAGCGCGAACACCACACCTACGATAAGGCCTAGAACACAAGAGAACCGACAATCAAGGAGGCCTACCCCCCAGCAACGCTTCCCAATTTCTAGAAAATACAGAAATAACAAGATTTTGTATTTTTCATCTCTAAAATTTTTTAAGCTCAACCCATGGCAGTTGCATTGAAGGGGACGCACCCCGGGGATTCGTTGCAGACGCTCCATGAGGCGCCGCTTCTTCTCGTTGAGGAGGTAATACCTGAATCCAACGGTTTAGGGTTTAGGGTGGGCTCCTGTAAGGGTTCCTGTAAGGGTTTCGATACAGTAAGGGTTTGAGTAACGAAGGCGGGAAGGCATGGCTTTCCACATCTTTCCATCTACAGCCCCCCGAGAATCCACAGGTGGCCCCCTGGGGTTGTTGCGTGGTAGTCACGTGGTTGTGCTTGTTGAGCTGCAAGCATCGGACCTAAGGTCGGCCCGCGATTGATGGAATACAGATACAGGAAGAAACTGATGGCAGAAAACTCGCACGGATCTCGGCAACGGACGGCATATTCTCGCGGAAAGCCAAATGCATCCAGATCGGTCAGCACATCCTGAACCGTGCGTTTTCAATCAGGCATGAAGTGCAGCCCGGAGTCAGTGCAGCATAGCGAAAGCAAAGAACCCTGCAAGCCGTCCAGAAGCACCTGCAGCTTTTCCATTTTCCAGGCTCGTGTTTTGATGCGCGGAGCACGCTCCCGTGGTCGACTGATTTTAGTCGTCCTCCAGTCACGTGCTAGCCCATGACCGAACAAGCTGCCTCAGAAAGCTCTCCCATCGACATGTCACTTTGGCGAGGGTCTGAGCACCCAACCGAAACTACGAATCAGGAACTCCAACTGTGAGGATCTCTGGTCGCGCTAACAACGTCGTTAGCGATGCTGGTGCACCTGGTGCAACTGTCCTGTACAACCACCCTGCAAGCAAACCTGCTCAGTCCATCTCTTCCATCTGTGTTGTCTGCACTGCATCTGAGGACAGGCCTCTGGCAGAGGTCGCGAAGTACCACAATGGCTCACAGTGACAGTCACTGACTCAGTAAAAAATCGGACTGAAGCATCCCGAATTATTAAACCTCGACTGGAGGGGTCATGGGAGCAGGCTGCACGCATGAGGCCTTCTCGCCATTCGCCAGTGTCAGGCTCTTCCGCTTCGCCCGTGGCCCTCTGCGCCTCGTCGAAGGCCTCCAAGCGCCCACGGTTCAACAAAATCGCGACCACTGACAGGCCTGCAATACTTGGAATGCATACCAACATGCCTGACGATTATTTCCACTTTGTCTCCTGAAGTCTCGACAATCGTATCGCACATGCTTATTAAGTTTCGCAAGATTCCTCAAAAACAAACTACTTGGCAAGAATTCAGTGCTGGCCGGACCTGCTACCACGGCTTCATGCACCTGCATCTGTCTATATGCCTCTGATGAGTCTTCGCTGTTGGCTCTGCATGGTTTGCATGATGTTACTAGTCTCCGGTGGTCCGCTGATTAACGCTTGGCTTTTCTGTTGCTGTGGTCGTATCTTTAGGCAATCTCTTGCATCTGTAGATGTTCTTCTTCACAAGCCTACGAACGTCTCCGTGATATACGTCTGTCGCAAGATCAGGCTAGCACCCTACTACAGCTTGGTAGTGTACTCGCAGCTCTGAAAACTGTTGCTCTTTCAATGCTCTTCAGCAGAGTGTAAGTGTTGTTACCGAGGTGTGCGCCTAGCCTCCTGCGACTAGGTTCCCCCGAAGGACTTGTTCCAGTCATCTGATGACTCCAGCATACAGGAACTTGCTCATAATAAGGAACCCTTTCTCCAGTTAACTTCTGCCTCCAGCTCCCGCAGTTCCTCTCGCAGAGGAGCCGCAAAGCCCTGGCAACACAGAAAAACCACAAAGACTCAAGCAGTGGAAGTTTGCACGGCCTTGGGGCTGTACTGGTTTTCTCATGCGGCAACCTACACCGATTGCCGAAAAGGCTTAAGCCCCATTGCCAGCACTGATGTGCACATCAGATCTCACGTATCAGAGAGTCGGTGCATGTCGGTGCTAGAAAGCACGGCTTGAAATGACTATGAATAGCAGTGTCTTGACCAAAATTCGTATTTTCACTGCTAGTCAAAAATGTGAGAGACCCGTGTACACACTCTATGTGCTCGCGGCCGCAGCAGTACTTGTAGTAGCAGTACTTGCAGTAGCAGCACTAGTAGTACTTGTAGCAGTAGTTGTGGTGGTAGTGGTAGTGGTAGTTATAATAATAATAGTAGTAGTAGTAGTTGTTGTTGTAGTAGTAGTAGTAGAAGAAATAAAAGAAGCAATAGTAATACTCGTAGTACTGGTAGTCGTTGTGTTTGCAGTTTTAATCGAGCACGCCGATGTCATCTCTCCCTCAGGGCAACTCTTCGTCTCGCTTCTGGTGCATGGCGTTTCCTCCAGCTCGCCGCCGGCACGGCCAGCACGCCTGGGCAAGATTGAGCACTTGGGAGCTGGCTGAGATTGAGGTCTCTATGCCTGAGTCCTTGGCAACCAGTTCAAGCGTACCGACCGCTGGGCTGCCTCAGTCGTGTTGTGCAGAAACACGCAGAAACGAGACGGAAAACTAATTAGCCTACCCTTCTGCAGCCTCCCCGTGCTTTCGGCTGCGCTCCGCTGCCATCGCATATTTCCTGTACATGCAATTTCACAAGCAGACGCCCTTCTCGGGAAGATGTGAAGTCTGAAGCTATTCGGAGAGTTGACCCCGAACTGTTCACAAGGATCTCCTACTGCTCTGCGCATGTTGCTCGGACGAATGGTCAAGCGCGCCAGGAGTACTGCGACCGCTTCATAGCCTGCCGAGACTTTTCTTCCAGACTCATGTATCGTGCTCAACCCCTGCACAACTCCAATGCATCCCCGCTTCCGAACCTTAGCACGGAAGGCATCGAAGTCCGTAAAAGTGGCATCAGGTGGTGCTGGACCTGTAGCAGCTTGGCCGGTGTGTGGGAGTTCGCAACTCACTAAGTGACTAAGATGTTCTGTGGACTTCAATGTCATCACACTGAAGCATGTGGCACGATTGTTTAGGTTGCGTCCCAAATGTGCTTGGCGAATTGGGGGTTACTGGCCTTGCCGCCACTGACTGCGAAGAAGCCGAGAGGCGGTACGACGAACAACGAATCTTTACTGCATGCAACGAAACTGCAGCCCACTTCCATGTCGAATATATGGTTTGCAAAGCACTGATAAGCTCAACGACCCCACCGAAGCAACTTCATCCATCTGCCAAGCCGCTTTCATCCGCCTCCAGGCGAGCTTGACGCGCTCGGGCTGCCTGCCAAGGCTGCGCTGTGTCATCTTGACGTTGTGTGAAGGGGGCCCTAAGTCCCTGCACCCTTCAGGACTCGATCAACAGAAACCATTTGTGGAAGCTTCAACAATCCTTGCCATCACACGCCCCACAAGACTCAACAATCAACCATGCCAGACGATCCCCGAAGCCAACACTCGGCCAGTAGCGCGCGCAGCGTTACAAAGCTCCCTTCCAAGTGCCTTGAGCCCGAGCTTCTGACAATTTCTCGCGGACTGCCTGCGCAGCCTCGGCCGAGATGTCCGTCATGTGAGACACAGTGTCCAAATCCTTTCGGGCGCTGTCGTGCCGTTTGGTATTGAACAGACCGACGCACAGAGACAAGTTCCCATCCCTGGACGCGGTAACGGTTGTCTTGTTGAGTTGTTGGGTTGATGATACTCACGCAATGCTTCCTCCGACCAGGCTCGGTCTCATCTTGATTCACAACTGCATGCAAACATGTACGACGAAGCATGTGTGGCTATGCTCTGAGAGCCTAGGAGGCTGATGATGGATGTGGTCAAAGTTTCTCCACGCACGATCGATCATGACAAGCTGTGAGATGTTCTATCTGCAGCCACGAGACGGCCATGGGGGGCAGTCTCGAAGGTGCTTCAACCTGCACGGCTCAGATGTCATCGAACATGCACAACACACGGAACCCTAAAGCATCCTGAAGCTCTAAACGCCCGCAGTCCTAAACCCTAAACGGCCCTAAACTGAACCGCATGCCCGGCCACCGCCTACTCTCAAGCCGCCAAGGAGAGCCGAGGGCCCCGAAGGCCTCGACGACGGGGTCCGGCTTCTGCGCCGCGAAACCCGAGAGCCCCGCCTTGGCCCCCAGGCAGCGTATAACTTTCTTTCAGAATCCTAGCAAACTCTGCTCTCTGTTCTTTTGCCTGAAGCCATGAATCACGAAGCCCCACAGACATCCCAACACCCACGGAGAGACATCTTCAAGAAAAGCTCAAGTCGGCAAACCCTGGAAAGCCTTCACGTTGACCCACAAATCCGGGACCTCTCTGGCTTGGAGCGAGTGGCACTCATGCGCTGCGCCAGGAGCTTCTGGGCCTCGGCGTCCTCTCGCTTCGCCAGGAGCGCCTCTCGGGTCTTCGGACGCGAAAGTCACTCAAGCGGCTTCTTGTAAGCTGAAAGATCACAGCGCCCAGGCCTGGGCCTTCTCCTCCGCCTGCACCTTCTGAAGCAGGCGCACCGCCTCCACAAAGGATGCGGGGAAAGCTGCACACGTCGGCAAAATGCTCGCGAAAGCGTAACCCGACATTCCCAGTGTGCCAGGGCTACCGCCCTCAACGACCCAGCACCTAAATCGTTCCGCTCTTCGCACTCCCCTCCAAATAAGTGGGGAGCTCGGTCGGCATTATGGGAGCCCGGCCTGACGCAATCAGCGCCGCCCCTGAAACTGAACTGCCCCTCGCCCTGCAGGCTTGCAACATTCCACGGCAGTCTGCGGAAGCCTCTGGCACTGGCGGGTCCAGCAACGGCTGCAGCAGCGTCCGCGCCTCCTCGTAGCGCTGGAGCCTAAAGCGGAGTCTGTGATGCTTTGTGTCTAGCCTTCATGACCTCATGGCACTGGCACAGCTGCAGGGAGGGATTTTGCTCGGATGCGCGCTTAAGGTATTCTCCCTCCCCTGCCTCAGCGTGGCTTCGGCCGCCCGGAAGCGCGCCTTGGCGCTGGCCGGATCGGCAAACAGGACCACCTAAAGCGGGGTCTCTGCAGCAGGGATGGCGAAGTCTGTGACCAAGAATTTGCATCAAGAAGTCTCTACGAGGCCCCTTCAGCCCCAGCCAGTATGGCCTTGCAAGCCCGCAGCGCTTTCTCCGCATCCCCGAGCTTCAGGTAGCCCTGTGCCTCTGACAGACAGCTGATGAAAAGGCCACTGCGCTGTAGTTTTGGAGCTAAGACGAAGGCCAGGTTCAGATAGATCGATCTCTCCAGGGTCGTGGACTCCTTCTCAGCTCGGGAGTTGTGCGCAGATGTAGAGTCTTAGCAACCTTGGGAATCTCAAGCATCCGTAGGCATCCTAGCATCGCCTGAAGAAACATCAATACGCTTGAAAACGTTGATTGCTAAGTGGCTTCAGATTCTTGCGGTGCAGGGCGCCTCGCCAAAAGCTTTTCCGGCTTCCAGCTCCTGCAGAGCTACTTCAGGGCTCCGATCGCAACCCTTCTCTGCGGAAATCTGGAAAAGCCCTGCGCAGCTGGTGCACTGGGACTCATTCATGGATGTGCCTGCACGTGACGGCGAATGGCCAGATTCCAGAGGCGAACTGCCTCCTCCAGAACAGCAAAGAGCAATAGGTAACAGAGACACTTTGCGATGGCACTTGCGCATGTCGGTTCTGGGTGTAGTCCTGACAGCCCTTCTAGTTTCAAGTTCACCGCTTTGTAATTATGCGACCGCTTGCTGCGTGCTTCACATCCGGACACGCATGACGTCGTTCGACAGGCTGTTTTTTTCATGTCATGCTGCTCAATTCCAATCTGCTGTGTGGATGTGCTTTGCCCTTTTGTCGTGGGCGTCAGACCGTCAGCGCCTGCGCTGAAGAATGACAAAGGATTGCCCACACTAAATGTGCCTTGAGCTGCGTGTGTGTGTGTGTGTGTGTCTGGAGCATGCTCAGCTTCATGACTATGTTCTTGCTCCATCACTATCCCATATCTAAAGCCCTGCTCTCGCGATCGTCAGACGATTACACCTACCTCCATGGGGATGTCCAAAGCTTCTGGACCGGAGTCTGCATAATATGTTCAAGATTAGAAACACGCGAACCAAGGTCCCTAAGCGTTTTCTATGGTCGTTCCAGGGAACGCACTGCCTCCACCTCGCCGCGGCCGTAGGCGCTGTTTCCCTGCTGCTTGAGTTCGGCTGCCTTTCAAGAAATCTCGAAGAAGCCAAAACGACTTTCAGGCTGCTTACCTGTCTCGACCCACTATGAGCTGAAACGACATGACGCCCAGCTCTGAAGCCCATAGCGGCACCTCGGCCGCAGGGTCCACGTCGGCCACACCCTCTCCCTGAGGTCAGGAGATCATGTCTGAAGCACCGCAGGACTGCGACACTATCGAGAGGGGTTCTAGATACATACCGGATATGGAAGTTTCGGGTTCAGCGACAGTAAGAAAACACAGCATTGTCTCTGGACATGTTCTGAGACTTGAGAAAGCACACGCAGCCAAACGGAACCGCAGATGAAGGAGCTAGGCGACACAACTCCTGCTGCTCGTTTCAAGACACAGCTACCGGACAGCAGCCACTGCCTCGGCCATGGCATCGCTGGGAAACACAAGAGGCAAGGATGCTTAGATATGCTTAGCGTCTTAGAGTGTCTTATCCGGTTTCTGGACTACAAGCCTTCCGCTATCATGTCTCGTGAGTCTGCATGTGTTTGTGGGTGTGTGTGTGTGTGCATGCACAAATGTACAGGGAGAGCCAGTGAAGGAAGGGATAGGGAGACAGCAACACAGCATTCAATTTGCGAGGGCTCATGGGACTTTGGAGTCTTACAGTCTTGAGGAAGCGTTACTAGGCGTTACTCGCTTCTGCATGAAAGCTGTGGCTCCAGTGAGTCCAATGGCACCGGTGGTAGTGAGCGCTTGGATGGTGCAATGTTGGCCCGCTGCGTTTGAGCAGCTTGAAGACAAGGACGGACGGAATGTTGGAGCTCTCAAAGCCGTGAGCATGGCGATACTAGCCTCGCTTCCAGACTGCCGAAGTACGGACCCTACAGCAGCAGTGTACGGTGTCATGGGACGCTGTAACGGTCCTCCTCCAGCTTCATATCCTGTTTCTCACCTTCCGATGCACGCAAGGCAGGGCATCCAAGAACACGGAGCTGAAGAGACTGCACAGCACTGCACGGCCCCCGCCCTTCCTGGCAGCACAACCGACGCGAAACGATCGGGTCGGGTCAGCATTTACTCTTCCAGACTCGTGTCCGACCTTGTCCAGGAGTGCCCTCTGGCACCGGGGTTGAGGCCTCCGGGATTTGGCGGTACCTCGATGGCCGGAGCGGACGAAATGCAAGCCGGACATCGCACCATTTTCTCCGTTCCAAGGCGGTCCCTGTGAATCCTGCGCCGCAGACTTGCCAAGTGGAGCTGTCCCTGCCCTTAAAGCCTGAAATGCGGTGGAATACTCACAGAGCCGGATAAGTCGTAGAATCTCGGCCCTTTGCCAGGCGTGGGCCCGGACATCCGGCACCTGGAAGCGGCGCCTGGCTCGCAACTCGCAAGCTTCGGAGAGCATCTCTGAAGCTCGGCGGCAGCCGAGCCGAAACATCCCTCCACCCTCAGCCCGTGCAGCTGCGAGGTCACAAACCTCGAAATGCGGCCAAGCAGCGACGGGTCCGTGGTGAGGAGCCGGGCGATGAGGTCGCGCACGGACTGCCAGCCAGAGGGGAGGGGGCGATGGAAGGAGGTCACCACCAACTGAGCTTTCGCCCACTTATCTCCAGCAGACAAGTCCTCAAATTGCCCTCAGCCTGTGCTGCTCGGATTTTGTCTAAAGCTTCAGCCTTGCTGCGATTAAGACATGCCGATGCTCGCACGTCCAGTGTTCAATCGTGCTCTTCACAAGGTGGGCCAAAAAACATGGTAAATAAGGCAGGCAACTTGTATATCCAGTGTGACGACTGCCATACTTTTACTCTCCGCGCGAGCCTCGGAGATAAATTTCGGAGTCTTGTAGTCCGCGGAGAGGATCTTCTTGTACAGGGCCGAAGTGTTCTGGTCCTGCAGTTGAGCAGAGCCACGATGAACCCTGCGGAGCCTAAATAGCTGAGCTGGCAAGTGATGCCATGGGCGAATTCCCATCCTCCATGGTTCCGGCTGTCACAATCGTTTGTTTGCATCCCTCTAGACCCCCTTTACCCTCTACAAGCATTGAAAGCCTCTAACTGCAGCAGCCACTCCAACCTCAAACGGCAGGTAGCCGCAGACCATGGCAAAGAGGATGACTCCACAGCTCCACAGGTCGCAAAGATGCGGGACCTTGGGCCAAGGAGCCCATTCCACTCTGGGCTTTCCAGGCTCTTAGATGCTCTCAGGGCTTGAAGCTATGAGGGCAGTTCAGTCGGACTCCATTGGCAGAGTGACTTGAGATCACAACCTACAGGCGAGTGGAAGAGGCATCCTTGGGACACGGCATAGCTGTGGCCTCGCATGCTGTCCAGCACAAGAAGGACAAAGCACTTCACAGCACGCAGACACTCTAGCCATCCCGACAGGGCTGCATTCTAGTCGGAGACGCGGGGAATCTTAACCCAGGCCTGCAATCATTTCTGGAGCAGCATAGCACGGAGATCCACAGGCGGTCTTGAGCAGTTGGCCTTGCCTGCAGAGCTGGTCCGAGCCGCTCCGTTTCAGCGCATGCGGTCTAGAAGCTGCGCTGCGGGGAGAGGCTCGTGTGCTAGAGGTTCAAGATGCAGCGATTGGGGGGTGACTTGGCTCAGGCACGGCAACTCAGGTCGTCAGAAGTGTTTTGTAGCGGCAAATGCGCAGGCAGCCAAGATACTCAACGCTTCAGAACTACATGGCAAAAGCCGGAGGAACCAGCATCAAAGAGGGTTTGGGATGATTTATGTAAAGTCTCACTGCTCACCGAAGCCTTCAGCACATTGCGTCTTACTCGTACATCTTAAATCAGCCACCCTGCCTGAAGACGTTGCTCAGGCCAAAGTCCACGATCTTGATATTATTATGCTCGTCCAGGAGAAGGTTCTCGGGCCTTCGCAGGTGGCAGGGGCTCACTAGGCAGCCTCACCAGTCAGTTTTAGCCGTGGCGTCGAATGTACAAAGAAGAGCCGGAAGTTCACACGTTAATTCGTAGCCCTTCCTACCGGGATGCCGTGAAGCGTTCACTCGGCGACGCAGCGAAAACCCGCGAACTCTGACGAAGTCCGAGTGCGCGGCTTGAGGTCCCGATGCACGATATTCATGGCGTGAACCTCTCTCCACTGGATCGAGTGGGTCGGGTCCAGAGCCAGGGCACGCTGAGGGCAACGCTTGAAACGCGACTTGATGCGAACTGAACCCAACTGCACCATTCCATGTGGCCCCGTGTGCTGCGCAACGGCCTTCTCGAGACCAGCGATGATTTGATGGAAGAAGCGGCATGCCTGTTCGGCCGGATTGCAGCCGCTTCTCTAAACAGCTTGCTGGCAAGGACACTGATCTGCATGGGTTGCACGCCTCTGGTTCAGGCACGCGCCCCCTGGCAACAATGTAATCGAAGAGCTCTCCACCGCTTGCGTACCTCCCGCTCGCATCGAGACGAATAAGGATTCTGAATAGTGCCCTCTGAAGAGAAGCTTCTTCGGCTCCGACAGGGTTTGTCTTGGGCACACTGTTAGAAGTGACAACCTTCAAGTGCGCACTCCATGATGAGATATAGTTGACGGCGCGTCTCAATGATCTCATACAGCTGCACCTGACGACGTCAACGGTGTTCGACGCATAAAATTCCAATCATCTGGCATGACTGCACAGCTTCACGGCTGACTTGCATGAACGGCTAGCATGGAAACGGGAATCACACGAACCGTGGAGCTGCAAGAGCAGCTCTGACTCCCCTTTGGAAGTAGCAAAACCAAGCCGAGAAACTCATCAGAACCAGAACATGAGAATCATGGACGTCCAGGGATCTGGCGATGTGGGGGTGCCGGATTAGCTTCAAAATATGCACCTGTCAGAGCGACATGCATGAAGGGCTGAAACGTAGTAAGGACAGGCAGTAACTGGCAGCCGGCTTTGTCTTGGCGGTTGCTGCAAGAGCTGGACCAGCTCCAGGGCCAGCGAATGCCGGGTGCTTCGACCGCAAAGGGGGCGGGTTTCTGCTTAAAGTTCCGTCTGCAACCACGCCCTGCCATGCCTCACGAGCCACCCTTTCCACATCTGCCACTTCAACGATCCGCTCCTTCTCGAGAATCTGGGCGCGTGCGATGGCTGGAAGGTGAGCCCGAAGTTCCGCAGGAGTGCCCGTGCAGAGGTTGGATAGCTTAGTGAGGCGATGGAGGCAGAAGAACTACTTCATCTGAAATTGAAGTGTTGTACATATCTGGACAGCTTGGGTTGGCAAATGTATATAAACCACGTTCTGAAACGCCGAAGTGTGAGAGTGATGAGGCTCCAGCTTTGACGGCTACACGCTCCGAGGTCAAGATGTGGGTTCCAAGCTTGACCTGCAGAGGTCGGAGAAGATGAGATGGATCTCTCAGGTTTTGCTAAGAATGGTTGACACACCCTCTTGAACGAGCTATCTGTGACCCAGCATACTTCCGACTCATTCGGCTCTTTGAGAATGTCCGCGAAACGTCGTCACAAGCAAAGAGCTAAGATGTGGATGCGGTTTGCTGAGGTCGGCGCCTTTCCGAACGTGCCTTCGCCTATCGTCTTTCCTGCATGCAGGGACGAGGTGAAGTGAGAGTTTGGGTTGGAGGACTGCAGCCTGCTCAGGTTGATGCCCCTCGCCGTGGATTCTCAGATTTTGAGAACTTATGAGAACTGCTTCGAGACCCTATGGAAGCGACTGTCGAAAAGTAAATGCTGGAAGAATAGCCCGTCTTCGGACAGGCTGTTCCACTTCCACTGCTTCGGCACAATTTCGCAGATTCAGCAAAGGCAAATCGAAAGCGTCCTGAATTTAAGCAAACGTGCCGAAGCACCTTCTACAAGTCGCGGTACCACTGTCGACGCAACCGAGAGCCCCGCCTAGGATGTAGTGCCCGATCGACTTGGCCCGTGCACGGCTGCTATCAGGCCTGAGCAAAGCTGCTGCTCCTACGAGAAGAAACAGAGACGCAATCCCTCGAAGCTTTCTACCGCGAAACTGTTGCGGCCAAGACGCTGAGCCATGCCCGCTATCAAAGGGGGAAAGGCCAACCTTGCGCGGAAGGCTCCAAACTGCACCGGACAGTCAGTTGCCGTTGCATGTGTTTGACCTGGACCTCAAGAAAAATCACTTCTCTCCCGGCCCCCCGAATAGCATTGAAATCGAAGTTTAATGGCCCCAATGCTTGGGAATCATGACTGGGAGGGTCAACAAAACTACGAGATACATGCCGAAACTTGAAAACCCCATCACAACCTCAAGCGATGGTTTGTAGGGCGTGGTGCAGCAATGGCCGAGACCGTCCTGCCTGGATGGAAGCCACAGCAGCGGCACACTCACGCTGTGAACCGGACAGCTTCGCGAGCTTGAGTTTGAGATGCTTGGGCATGTAAAAAACCTGGTGTATGGGGGATCCCAATCGCGCCGAGCGGACTAGCTTCAGAAGCACCTAGAACAAGCCGATCCAACAACCAGGTCCTCTTGCTCATAGGGGGGTCGGTGAGACGAGGCTCGGCAGGTTCCAGGTCTGCGCAAACGATACGGGGATACACGTATATATACGTACATACACGTTGTCCATGCTCAGGCCCTCATGATCTTGTCCACGAGCGGGTGGTAAGTTGCTCCAGCTGGTGGCACACGGGCTTCACTTCCCAAAAAGTTCTCATTTTGTCAACATAACACGGTCTTACTGGCAAACTCCTTCAACAAGCCACACAGAAAGCCCCAGAGTCAGTGGGAAACCCAAATAGCACAGATGCAAGAGTGAATCACACATGTTCTTGGTCCCAGGTCGTTGATTCAACATCTGTAGCAGCGGCAGGGTGGCCATGGGAGGGAGCAAGCACAAAGAGCAACCAAGGGAAGAAAAAGGGAGAGTCAAACTTGCGGCACTGAGCCCAATCATCAATGATTGCGATGCTCAACACACATGTGCCCACGCTTCTCGATCCTTCTCCAAAGCATTGAGTCTTCCTGAGCCCTGAAGCGCGTACTGTGGGCGATCATGGCGTTTTGCAAGTGACTCAAAAACCGTTCTATGCTCCTTGCGGCAACGGCTCCTGGACATGTCCCGACAACCTCCCTCTTAACTTCGACCCGGGCAGGGGCAGATCTTTCTAAACCCCTTGCGTTGCTCCGCGTCCGCGTGCCCGTGCTGAGAGCAACTGAGACCTGCGGGCAAAGCCAATTGATTGAAAACGCAGAGATTTCTTCCCGAGCCCTGAATCGGAACGGCCACAAGACCATGTAGACCTCGCTGCACAAGACTATCACCTTCAACGTGGTATCTATGCTGTGCTTCGACGAATCGACATGGAATCGAAATGGGTACAGGGGACCTTGAACGATGAACACCTACGCCCGAAATCATGAGCTCGAAGCTGCTCCTCAATTGGTCTCAGTTGCACAAGACAGGACAGGGGATGAAACTCAGCTCCCGCTCTTCGACTCGTGAGAGGATTTTCTTCAAGGGCTCTGGTGATTCGGGCTTAGGCTTAGAATCTTAGAATATTGTGCTGAAGCAAGGAGTCGACATAGCCCTACCACGAAGATCGACGCGGGAGCCGCTAACACGATAACTGCAATTGTTGTTCCACATCCTGTGACCTGTGACCAGTTGCTTCTGTCAGATTGCACGTGTACGATTTCCTCATGCTTGTGCCAAGTTAGACACCACTACGTCGCACGGCTGCAGCATCAGGAAACGAGTCGAGGCTTCTTCCGCGCAGGCCTTGGCAGGCAGTCTGTGGTCGTTGAGGAGGTTGTGCAGCACAGGCTGGAACTAGATGTCCCCGCATGACTCTGTGCGGCCATATAGACGAGTGCATGATTGAGTGCTCGGCGTAAGGACATACTGTGAACGAGGCAACAACAAATTGAAGGAACACCGTATGGTATTGATATCAGACATAGTTTCAATCTGGCTGACAACCAACTCATTCAGCGCAGTCTGCGAATCATGCAAGCAACGCTGAACACAGCCGCGATTCGCTTAAGAACCTACCAGTCAATGCAGCTAGTGTGCTGTCGGGGCTACTATGGAGCAGCTGAGACCCAGGCTCGCCACCTGCATCGCCCTCGCCTTCCTGAAGCTCACAACTGACTGCGATGATGCTTCTACACTTCGTGGATCCAAGCAGACAGCCACAAAAATGAGGTCAAAAGAACAGCGACGGAAGAAGCTTTGCGGACTTGCACCTTTGGGGTCACTCTTGTCATACAACATCGGAAAATACTCGAACGGGTAGGTTGTCCGAGACGAAATGCTGGCATGCACCACTATGTTTTTGAGGCTTTACAAGCAGTGCAGCAGAGGCTTACCAGGAACAGGTGAAGACGTCAGCCACTCTGTGGCACTGCATGAGCAGTTTTAGCCGGCACCTGAAAGTCGAAGAACAGAAAACGATGCAGCTTGCAGTCTTGAAGCACGACTTGTGCCCACACACAGCCTGGTCAGCATTCTCCTCCTCAGCAGCAGGTGGCGGCTTCTCTCCTTCAAGGGCCGAGGCAACCCCCTGGCTATGCGAGGTGTACCCTTTGCACTTCGCAGTATCTGCCCGGAGCCACTCTTGATGGTTTTACGGCCCAGCAGATCCTCACTCATTCTTCGTCACTCTGCGTTCATCCATTGACTTGACCGAGGTAGTCTCGGACAATGATGGTGTGCAAGACACAGAGACACACGAAAAACACTGCTCTCCTCCTTCTGCCGCCAAATTCTCCGGCGGCTCGGCTTTCTCCGGCGCCTGGTCCTTCTCTGCTGCCTGCACGTTCTCTGTCGCCTGCGCCTTGTCCGGAACCGCGTCCTTCTCTGGCGCTGGCGCCTTCTCTGGCGCTGGCGCCTGCTCTGGCGCTGGCGCCATCTCTTCCGCTGGCGCCTTCTCCGGCGCTTGCGGCTTCTCCGTCGCCTGCACTTTCTCCGGCGCCTTGACAAGCTAAGCAAGATCCTTGGAAAACTGCAGCCATCGTGACTCCGAAGCCCTCGGCAGCGCTGATGATGATGATGATATTGCAAGTGCTGGTGCTGGTGCTGGTGCTGGTGCTGGCGCTGGGGCTGGGGCTGGTGCTGGGGGTGACGGTGGGGGTGGGGGCGGGGGTGGGGGCGGCGGCGGCCGCGGTGATGGTGGTGGTCATGATAGTCCCCACAACAACAATAATGATAATCATACTTTTGATGATGATGACTCTGATGACCATGATGATGACGGTGATGGTCATGATGATGATGATGATTACAATGATAACAATGATAACAAAATGGTAACACTGCATTATGATAACAACAAAAAACAATGATGCTGATGCTGATGATGACGATGTCCTCGCACAACGACGAAGAGTACTCCGAAGGCCACACAGCGACGTGCCGCCTCGGCCTTGTCGGTCGCTTCGGCCTCCACGCGCCGCTTTTTGGGCGGCGGGGCCTTGGGGGCGCCTGCGGTGCCTTTGTCAAGCATTGAGCGATGCTTGGGGGAACTGCGTAGTAGGCAGAGTGGGGGAATACAATGTCAGGAAAGAAACCGGCATGAGTCCTGCAAAAACCGTGGCAGGCTCTGTGATTTCACTGCTTCGTCGATGAGACAAATCCACCACAGATCTTGATCATTTGTACGCGGACGTGCTGGTTGTTTGAGCAGGTTTCGCGAGCACGCTGTCGGATTCGACCTAAGACCCTGCGTCACCCTCATCTCTGTCCATGCAGCCGAGTAGTAGAATGGTAACATGCAAGAAGTGCAGAGGCTGCTGGTTTCGCATTTCGCACAGGAGGGCTTGAAAAGGCTCTGCAATGCTGGCAGTAGTGTTTCTGGTTGTTGGAGAGCATCCTGATTCACGGAAGTACGTCGGCACCTCTCAACAAAAGAACTGCAAGAGCGAAGCCACGAGGAAATGCTAACACCAGAAAAGCATCCCTGCTGAAGCTTCTTGTATCTCGGCATCTCATCAGCTTGGCACCCCGGCCTTTCTCTTGTCGGGGCTTGTCCGCCTTTTGCTTCCGGAAAGCAACGATGAGCTCATGCCTGGGAGTGCCACACAGTTTGGCTGCCAACTTGTAGCCAGCTTCTGTCTGCTGAAGGGCTCGTGGCTATGCCGGCTATGCTCGCGCTGCTTAGGCCGCCGCACTCCTTTTGAAAAATTTTGGTCAAAGCGAAAGTGCTGAATGACCTGGCGAAGTCTGGCTTGGCATGGGGCGAGCAGGCTGAAGCCCTGCGCAATCTCCAGCCTTGGCCAGGGAAGTGATGTCACTCGCGAGGTACCTCAGAATGTCAACAACAACAACAAGAACAACAACAACAACAACAACAACAACAACAACAACAACAACAACAACAACAACAACAACAACAACAACAACAACAACAACAACAACAACAACAACAACAACAACAACAACAACAACAACAACAACAACAACAACACAAACAACAACAACAACAACAACAACAACAACAACACCAACAACAACAACAACAACAACAACAACAACAACAACAACAACAACAACAACAACAACAACAACAACAACAACAACAACAACAACAACAACAACAAAATCGCCAGTAAATGCACTGCTGGGCAGCTCGAAAGCCCACTGCGATAGATCACCACAGCAACTACGACAAAAGATTAAAGATTCTCTGCAGCATGTATCATCGTACTGTAGGTTGTGCACAACCAGGGTGACACCCGTGCTCCTGCATCTTCTGCGATGCCCCCTAAACTAGCTATCCTGAGGGGCTCAAAGCCCCGAAAAAAAGGGAAAAGAATAAACTGGTTCGGGGGTGGCACGCGGCACCCTCTGGAGGCACTTCAGGTTGGACCTTGCAGTTGGCTTATGCAACGGCTGACGGTTGGCAGCTGGATCGACGGGTGTACATGAGGCTTGCTGATTTTCCCGTGGCCTCAAGTGTGAGCGACAGGTAACCGACAGAACCGCCGGAGTTCCGAAACAAGCTAGACCGTCTCTCGTAAAAGCCCCCAATCCCAAGTCCAGCATTCCGCGAAAGCACCCGAAACCCCCAGCCTTCTTGCCCTTGGGACCCTTCTTCTGCACAGCATCAGCCTGGCAGTCGTCCTAGATGAGCACAGGGTTCGGGCTTTGCGGCGCACACCGCCACCCTGTAGCTGACAGAACGCTAAAGGCTTCCTCAACGTTACTTGGGCCGATTTCGGAATTCGTAGAGTTGTCAGGCTCTGAGGCACGAGAAGGAGAAGTGGCAGCCAGAGCCGGGACAACAACACGCGTTGCCCATAATGTCATGTTGCGCTTTGCATGAGATCGCTAGCGGGTATGCTGCGGACCTTTGCCGAAGCTTCCCGCAGCATTTCGAAGGTGACGATGCGCAGGATGCACACCTGATGTCAAAGTCCACGAGATTCGTGCCAGAAAATTCGTGTCAGAAAGGGTTGTTCACCAAAAATATGTACTCACTGGTTGCAAAGATGCTACCTGAAACGCTGTCGATTGCCTTGCAAATGCTGCCAAACCCGGCAAAGACATCACCCTCGATTGCCCTGAAACTGCCCGTCGCCCGTGAGCCTGCACGATCTTCAGCGTTTTCAAGACCTCTCAAGGTATTTCCCAAGACAACATGTCGTTGGCCTCTTAAGGGAAGATGCAAAGAAATTCGGCAGCCGCACATCATCCGTCATTGGCAGAATCCGAGGCACGCCTCTGTCTTCAGGTTCGCAACGACCATGGTGTCAACCCTCTCCAGGTCCAGCAGGAGTGGAACCTTGCGTGTCTTGGCTCGACGGACTAAGGTTGAGGGCTGGGAAGTGGGGCTACACCCAGAATCTCGACAAATGAACGTAGCTAGGCAAATGGCGATCGTTCGACACAGCTGCTCCACCGTGGTCTTGCCGACGATGTCCTCGTTGCAGGATGGGGGGCGCGGAGGGTGATGACGTTTTGTGCCATTGTATGCAACACCGGAGCACGACGGAGACACCGACAGAGGCTCCTCTGCGGCCAGATACTCGCTAAAGGCTTCCTTCACCTGGCACGACAACACTCGCCAAAATGCCAAGAAAGAAATGAAAGGCCAGCCACTTTCAGCAAACTCGCTGGGTCACGACATGGTACAGACAACCCCGGCATGTGCCTGAGAGGCCTCGTACTTTTTCCTGGGCAAAACACGTTCGTCCTTTGGGGGCTTGGCGGGGTTTCCGATGTGCGGGACTTGTCTTGCCACAAAGCGTAAACCGCGACATGGATGCGGCCACTCCTTAAGGCTTAAGGATATTAAGGGACAACCTCATTCACCCTGAGTTTGCACCCTGCCACACTCTGCTAAGCCAACGACTGATCATTCCACCCAGCAATGAACTTCAGGCTCGCCAGCCACTGGTCCTGGCACTTACACAGATGACAGTGGTTTGGGCCGTTGATTTCGGATGGGTTAACGAACGCATTCAAGTCGGCGATTTTATCGAGCAACGTTGTTTTAAGCAGGGTTTACGGAATGTGTACCGGGGAGCACTAATCCGCTGCATCCTGGAAGGGGAGGGTAAGCACGGGAAATGGCTTTGCCGGTGGCTAAAGAGTCACAAAGACTACGGAGCAGAAGGAAGCAAGGTACTGGAGAGGTCCATGTCGGGACGGCACCAATGCCTCAAGAAACTCCTGGGCTGAGTGCACGACCAAATGAAAATATCTTCAATCTTGGAGCGCTGGATAGCCGCACGGGGGAAAGCACCCAAAGTTAATTAGAAGCCCAGTGTGGGACACAAGCAAGTTGGCGGTACATAACACGGCGGGTAAGCACAGCAAGCAGAATCCCAAGTCTTTCAACTTGGTCAAACAAGCACAAACTCACAGATGCAAGGGTTTTTGTTTTCCCGGGAATCTGCGACGGAGTTGCAGAATCCCTGCACATGATTGCAGAAATGCAAGGGTGCCGCTGCGACTGGATACAGCCGAGTAAACAAGAACAGAGCCCGTGGGAGTAGGACGGTGAGTTGTCGCAGCAAGTGGTGATATGAATGTCGTCAGGAGCAAGGAGGGCAGTGCGCAATTTGCCCCAAGGCGTCGAGATATTCAGGAAACCAGCGAACAGCTCACGCAAGGTCTGCGGAGAGGGAGGAACGACACTAAACGGTGCGGTCGCAAGGGATGGTGACGAGCCGACCAATGTCGAGCGTGAACCTTAGGAGGACGAGACTGGGACAGCGAAGGGCGGAAAGCCCTAAACAAAATGCAAAAAAACGCAAGCCTGCAGGTCGGTTTGCACAGCAGGTGCAACGGAATGGGATCGGACCGGATCACCGGACGACCAGGCTGGGGCAAGCTTGCACGGAGTCCAGAGATGGTAGGTTCGTGGATGTATTCCGCAAGTGAGCGTTTTACAGCGCGGAGACACTACCCGTTATTTCCGGAACCCAGCCTTCAAAAAATTCGCCAGCCAAGGCGCGTCCTCGACAAAAGGCCATGAGTTATAAAGACAGACGGGTCGTGAAGGAGAGTCACGGCACCAGACGATGTGTCGGGCCAGTCCGGTGGCAGATGCGTGCATCGGGACCGGGGCGGGCTGGTCCGAAGAAGTGACCGTCTTCGAAGTTGCCGTGTGAAAGCAAAGCGCTGCAACAGTAGTTCAAGCCAGGCCAAGACAACGGGCTGAGGCAAGAAACCAACAAAGTGTGCAACCGAGGCCGCTTAAGACTTCAAACTGTAGAGTTTGGCTGAGTTTGGCTACAAGGTTTAGGGTGCGGGGATGAAGTCCTGAAGCTTTGGAGACTAACTTGGTTTGGGTTCCAAGGTGTCAGGGTGAAGCACTCTCACAACCGCCACTGTTTAACCTTAGGAAAGATTTTGGGCTCGGGCACCACCACCACCGCCACCACCTTAGCATGAAGTCCGAAGCAATGACACCAAGACATCGCCGGCCCGGCAAAGAAGGGAGGAGGTGGTTGCTCCACCTCCGGCGAAGCCTTGGAGATACTCTTGGCGGAAATCCCGATTGTGGATGGAGCCTTGTGTACGAGGATGTGTGAGATTATGCTAGACAACACCATGTCAAATGTGTCTCTACACTCTCTGACGCCCTGCGTTTGTGTCCCGGCGACTCTGGCACCGAAAACCCTTTGACCGAAGCTCTGTTGAGCCTGACGTCCAACTCCACTCGAAAGCTCGAAAGCTGAATCCCTGATCCCGACGAGCCTCGGGAGGGGTTGCCTCCACGTCAGGTTCCCGAGGTGGCTTCGCGTCTGCCTTTCATGGTGAGGGCTGGAGGTTTAAATCTTCACGTCCGTGGAGGTGGCGTTTGGGCTTTCTACTTGTTTCCACTTCCAGGGTTTCGGGATGGGGGGTTCAATGCTGCAGGCTTTAAACAGTCTGGACAGGCGAGGGGAATGCGGCGACCCGCCTCCTTGGCCTTTTTCTTGCCCGAAAGCGGTGGCGGCAACCCCCATGCTTTAGGCTTCGGCTTTGCCTGGTCAAGGCTCTTTCGTATCGCGAGCATGACATCAAGTGAACAACCGGACATATTTCAGAGAGACCTTCGCTCTTGTGGCGATATTTGCAGGCTTCTGGTCGGAGTCCTGGTCGTTTTCAAGGCACGCAATCAGCTACAGTCTGTGACACAACTGCATGAAGAGCAGACGTGTCTGCTGGCTGACCGGCCGGAAACGAGGTGCGCCGAACCGGAAGATCAAACAAGGCCCCCGTCCTGCTCGCTCCGGGAACCCACAGGGCCTCAGGAAGAGAAATCGAGCTTGGCTTGATAGATGCAAGGGGTTTTCGCGGTCTCCAGTTGTGCAGAACTCGGCCCCTAGCGTCGCCGCGCAGCCAAGGGCGGTGCTGCAGCTTCCGCTGGCTCCTTGAGAAAAACCCAGCAAAGGGAATATTGTAGGCCCCAGCACCCGCCATGGGTGCGTCTGCCGGCTACGGGCAAGCAGTGCATAGCGGCATGCACAAGCTGGGCATTCAGGTTTAGCCCTCACCCGACATGATGGCAATCATGCACGCAAAAGACACATTGTGTAAAATGACTTTGTTGAGCATTCGTTCGGAGGACATGCTCGCAGACTACACAGCAAATGAGTTTGCGACTGGCTTCAAGAAGGGGCCAGCTTTTCAGCTGCGCGGCATCAAGCAGAACAGAGGCTCGTCATGCGAGGGAGAATGGATCACCAAGCGGCAACCTGGCAGCTCATGCCGTTCACCTGTTGTGATGGTGTTTATGGGTTCGAAGGACATGCTGTGCAGAGTGGCCATATTGAACATCGGCTGGGAGGACACGCTCGCACCATTCACCATAAAGGAGTCTGCGACTGGATTCAAGTGATTCAAGAAGTCGCTGGCTTTCCAGCCGCACGGCATCAAGCAGAGCAGAAGCTCGTCAGGCGAGGGCATCTGGACCACCAGGCAGCAACCTAGCAGCTCATGCACTTCACCCGATGTGATGGTGTGCATGGGCTCGAAGGATATGCTGCGCAAGGTGGCCATGTTGAACATAGGTGTGGGGATGGTTTGGAGGACACGCTCGCACACTTCCCCGTGGCGGCTGGCTTCAAGAAGACGCCGGCTTTTCAGCTGCACGGCATCAAGCAGAGCAAAGGATCGTCAGGCGAGGGCATCTGGATCACCGCAAGGGTTGGAGGACACGCTCGCATACGTTGGTAAAGGAATTTGCAGCTGGCTGCATTGGTTTTCTAGCAGCGCGCCATCATGCAGAACAGAGGCTCGTCAGGCCTTCGATCTAATGAGGCTGACTCCGCTATCCTGACTTAACAGTCCCTGATTATATAAGTGAGTGATGCTGGAGCGCTTTAGATTTGCGTGTGGAGGTCCTATGGCCTTCATGCTGAGGTTGAGTTTGATGTCCCGATATCACCTCGATGAAGGTGTTAGACATCCTGGGTATTGCAACCGTGTAGGAATGGCCTCATCTGATACCCATGAGGAAGCTCCTGCACGGTCCGATATATGTATCGTATGTTGTCTAGTGCTTTGATGACCGATTACGGAACACAAAGCATCCTTTGATTGCCGTGCATTCTCAGGCATCGTCCATGTGCCAACTTTGATTTTGTTGTGGGGATGGGACAGCTCTTCCATGTGCTGGTTACATCCGACCCCTGTCCGGTGAGCGCATACTAGGTCAATAGATTTCTGTGCCACCGTAAATGCAGTTTGAATTCATCTTGCTAGGCGAGCGTCGTTTACCGACTCAACCGCAGAGAATGAAAAAAATGCTGGCTTCACCTGCTTTCGAGGGACCAACCTCTGTCTACCGAGCTGCAGCCAGGACGTGCCACAGATTTGTCCGTGTATGTAAGTGCGAAAGTATGCACGCAGTGCTCGATGAAAGGTCAAATTGGCCGAGTAATTCTGGCAAGTGCGAAGGTCCATCCATCCATCCATCCATCCGTCCGTCCATCCATCCGTCCATCCATCCATCCGTCCATCCACCCATGCATCCAAGCATCCACGCATCCATGCACCCATCCACCATCCACCCATCCATCAATTCATCCAATTCGCCTGCCTAAATGGCTTCTCTGCGTCTGGCTGCATGTACATGTGCACATATGAGCATGTGTCTGAACTTTACCGACGACGGTGCAATGTTGGCTTTCCTTGCCTAAGACACGCCGGTGTCCTGGAGCTTGGCAGCAAAGGTGGCCATCATCTCCTCATCGTTGAAATCCTCATCCTGACGACACAAACAGACATGGCTTCCGGCTTACAGCTGCTGGGAACAAGCTAGGGCCAAGATTTCGTGCTTTGTCGGGGACTACCAGTGCTGAGCGTCTAGCCGGCACTTTCTAGGATCTTGGGAGCTTGGAATTTGGCTTGTAGCTGCCAGAGCTGCAGGAGGCCTCCTCGTGCACAACTTCCTCGTCCTGCGATGTGTGAGAGACTCCAACATCCCAAGACCTTCGATTCCAAGGTGGCCTCCGCCTTGGACTCCACTTCGGGAGCAGCAGCTGGCGGCTCCTGTTGGTGGGCTTTCGGATCACGAATTGGGGGCAAATGTGGGGAACTGCAACCACTCTCTCACGGCTTCATCTGGCACAAGAACTCTTAAGGCTGGAAAAGACGAAACATTTCTGTGCCTCCAGCTCCTGATCCCGCCGCTCACCCAGCTTCGGCCGGCGCTGAGAGCAGGAGAAGGGCTTACGGGCTTACAGCACCGTGCAGTCTCGGCTTCGGGGGACCGGTGACCGAACAAGGCAGATCTGATTTTGCGTAGTTTGGGATTTGCCGAATTGATGAGTTGAAGGTCTCTGTGGCAGCTGGCCGCTGGCCTCCCGGGGAAGTGGTGGCGGCTTGGCCCTGGTAGACAGTGCCGGAGCCTGTGTCAAAGTCACCGCACAACGAACCTACAGTAGCTTATGTTGATGAAAGTCATCATCAGTCATCAGTCGTCATCATCATCATCATTATCATTATCAGTCTCATATAAAAACCGTCTGCTCGTTGTGACGGTGCTGCTGTTGTCGTTGGTAAGGGCTGTGTAACGGATCCCCCCTTTTCGCCTTGCCATGCCTTGAAACAAACTCGGACTTGGAGGGGCGGGCGGGTGGTGGTAGTAGGGCAGTTTTCCCAAAACGCAAAACTGAGTCTCACGGAAGTCGTTCCCGATCACTCAGGCCCATCCGGGCCAACCATGATAACGTCCACTCAAACCCCATCCAATAATGTAGAGCATCCATGATCTTCAACTCACTGAAATCATCCTGCTCCTCGTTCCTCGTTCCTCTGTTGCTTCGCTGCCGTAGTTGCGGGCGCGTTTTGTGGTTTCGATAAATCGGACGGGTCTCGCATTTTTTGGATCTCTGCGCTTTGTGATTTTCCGAAGAACAACAGCCGAATTGAATCCTTCCAGGCGCAAAAACCTCGCGAAAACACATCGTGCCAAGAAGCAACACTGCTAGAACCAAACGGCGGCCAAAAACACTCATCTTTCCAAAGCCTACTTTTCCAGGCCGGTGTGTCCAGCACCCAAGCCAAAACCCATATCTTAAGGAAACAAGTCCAACTTTGTCGGTGGGAGCGGCGTTCTCGAGGTCCAAAACCACAAAAAGCGCGTGATACATCACGAAGGCGCGACCTTGTTCTTGTTGCTGCTGCTGCTGCTGCTGCTGCTGCTGCTGCTGCTGCTGCTGCTGCTGCTGCTGCTGCTGCTGCTGCTGCTGCTGGCGCTGGCGCTGGTGCTGGTGCTGGTGCTGGTGCTGGTGCTGGTGCTGGTGCTGGGTGGAATCAGCCCCCTACTCCACCCAAGTTACCTCCACGAAACATCGTAAACAGCCAAACCATGTAGAAATCCTAACAAGTACCGATTAAACCGGAAGCTTGCAAACGCCTTTGCACAGCTCTGTCGCGCCTTCGGTTCGGACACCTGACAAACGCAAGTCGGTGCAAGGTGGAAAGCATGAAGGGTACCGACTCCGTGAAATTCACGAGCGCGAGGTCTACATCTGTACGTTCAGGGGTTCTCCTGCGAGCTTTAAGCATCTAGACAAGGACTTTGTGGTGCCCCGCTTCCGGAATCTCGTTATGACCGAATTACTTCACTTGCAAAGTGTAAAGTATCCATTGCAGACAGAGGCACAGACTAGAAGGCATCCTTCAAAGCCGGCACAAAAAACCGCCAGACCGACATCGTCTCAACACTGAGCAGAAGACCGGCCCCTGTCTGCAAAACGAGCCCACGGACATTAGTTCGACTCAACAAGCTGATGCCGCTCAGCGATGCAGCTCATGACAACTCGCTTACTTTCCGCGCTGAAGCAGAACGAAGCGAACCGCAGCTAACCAGCCAAACTGGCAACATCTGCGCTGTCACAGGCTGCACGAAGACGATGCAGAACCCTCAGGATTATACCACCTACCACAGCACCCCAACCAAATTATCGTCTGTTGATCCTATCAGAGTCACGCTCGAGTCGCACCCGCACAAACTCCGCAACCAACACTTTACGGACTTTAGGCTCTTGAGCGGCCTTCGTCCTTCTATCTTTCCTGCCTCCTGCTGCGAAATCATCAAGCTGCTTAATTCCATAATTGCATCCCCAGCCCATGAAGAATCCCCGTGCAAAACGGGAAGCATCGGACATGTGGTAAACCCTCAAGAAGCTTAACTCATCCACCTCCCGGCTTGGCGGCGGGGGAGGCATCTTGGCCTTCGGCCTGAGTGATCAGAGGAAAAATGTGCAAAACCCATGCATTGGCATCCCCCGTTGTCGCGACATCCACCCGGAGTTCTGCGATGTGCTCATCTATCCTGGATGTCCGTCATCTCCAACATGGCATGCGACAAAGACAGGGGCGAGCTCGAGCTTGGGAGCTCCAAGTGCTTGAGTGCTTGCTTCGGCTCTGGCCGGGTGGTAGCAACCACGGCAGCCATGGCATCGTTTTTGTCCACCTGGCGCAGGGTCTCAGCTGGTCAAACTGGCACATACTAGAACACACCCCAAGATCCCCCAGCGACACTGCAAGTCGCTGCTGAAACACGCAGAATGGTGCAAGCATCGTACAAACCCATGCTGCTTATACTGCAAAGAACAGGCACATCATCGAGGCACGGTTCCAGACTTGGCACACCAAAAACGAGCCCACGGTCCTCCTCCACAACATCATCTTCCTGCCAGGATAAGCAGCATGTGGTGGCGCATAGACTCAATTGCTGCTTGGCACCAGGCCTGCAGTGCAGCACGTACTGAGCAGCTTTAGCAGCAGATTTGCAAAGATCACACGGGGTCCTCAAGCTCTTCCTCCTCTTCCTCCTCAAACTCCTCCTCTTCTTCGTCCTGCAAGTCTGCATCTGTCGGTCCTGAATGCACAGCATCGCAGACTCTGTGACAAAACAAGGAATCGTCCACTAGCTTCTTAAGCGCCTGGCCTGGCGCTGCCAGAATCTTTGCGGTGTCTGACTCCTGATGCAGGATGGCATGGCTTTTGGCGACACATGGCCTTCATCCTCTCTCAAACTGGGATTTCGTCCTCGGACTCGTCGCTCTCACATGCTTCCTCCTGCAACATCGTTTTCTGTAGCGCTTTGTTGCGGGAGGTGAAAATCAAACTGCCCGAGCCCCCGCCCTGAAACCCCCAAAGTGCTGAAGCTCCTTCCATCCTATGTATGAAAGTCTGAGGCAGTACCGGACACCCAACATCGGCGAAAGGCTGCCGAAATCATCGATTCAATGTACTACTTCTGGTGACTCTGACAGATATTTTAAGGGGGATATGCATGAAGAGGTCACTACCATCCAGTCTGCTGAGCCTCATCTTCTTCCGATCCTCGGCTTTCAGCTGCAGCTTGTCTGTAACTCTTCAGGGACGGGACGGGCACGAGACAACGCAGGCAACACTGAGGTGCCACCGCGTCTCCGCTGCTTTCGAGGTTCTCCGGCTCGTATCCCGGAAGCCGAAGGCCATCGTCTGCGCCAGTCGGGGGTTACACGAGGCAGGCTCTGGAGCTCAAGCAGCACTTGCACAAAGGACTCTTTCTTCTGGCTACAGCTTCTAAGTGCACGACTTGCATTTGCACTGCTGGATCGGCTACAGTCGTTTGACTCTAGGATTTTTCTAGAGGCCCATATCTCATCCCAGCACCTCGGCGGTGTAGGAAGAAGCTGGACTCTGCCCCCAGCAAGAGCGAATCGATCTTGGCCTGGAGCTCGGTCCGCATGTCAACGGCTCGAGGTAGCACCGAGACCAAGTCAGCCCCGAAGAGCTGTGCGAACCCTGCAAGCAACACCCGATTCCGAGCGTACCGTAAATTCCAGTATGGCTCCAAACGTGGAAGCCTGTGAGCCCCTTGGAATCTTAACACGGCAACCGGAAGGGCTTAAACAAAGGGCGGCTGACCAGCAGGCTCCAATCGAAGATCCGCTTCGGCGGCGCCTTTTATGGAGATCGGTTCTCGAATCCCGGGCTTCGAGTTTGGGCCACGAAGGTTGTGCAGTGCATGCCAAACTGCGGCTCTACCGTGTTCGTGAAAGCAATCTTGCCGTCGGACCACATGCTCTGCTGCGCGAGAGATGCCGTTGCGACTAGTTAGCAGCTCGCACATCGCAGGTTTAGAAAGGTTCAAGGTGTAGTGATTCGCTTAGATACAAGCAGGCCTCCGTTTTCTTCAACCAAGAGCATCTTAGGAAGAAGCTATTGGCGACGCTTTGGTTCTTGTGATTTCTTCTGCGGCTCCTGCTACCACAAGTACGATGTAGCCGCAGGCTCCAGAATGGGCCTTGACCCGAAAAAAAGCACCATACCAAGACAGTGAGGGCCCAACCACCTGCCCAGGATCCTCCAAGCGCCGACGGGCGGTGGGAGCCTTCGTGAACACAGGAGAGGATACTTTCGGTTCAGAAGAGTTCGTGTTCCAGATTCTGAGCAACGTGAATGGGCGGAACTTGCCATAGGCATGGGATGCAATCCAAAGCATCGAAGGAAGATGTTCGACATCAACCAGTAGCAGAAACTTGAAGCATTGAACCGGCAAACCACGATAGTCCGACACACCTGTACTTGTCGTGCCTTGGCAGCAGGAGCTGCCAACTTTGCCTGCCGAGAGGATCAAGTAGCCAATTGGGCTTTGAGGCTTTTGAGAGCGTTCGATTTTGAGAGCTTCTGTGAGGCACCCAGCCGGCGCAATATGCCTCCGCTTTAGCAGGTGGAGAAGTGGCCGTGACCTTCAAAACGCTGACATGGATTGGCAAGAAATGAGACATCCGGCCGAACAGGCAGCTGGCATCTGCTGCGCGCCTTTAGCTCCGATACCGGAACCGATTTCGGCTGTGGTAGAGCTCGGGGTCCAGGGCGTTTGGCCTGCTACATCCGATGCTGGAAATCGCAAGGATACAAGGATCTCTCTGCTCCGGTCAGAGCTCCAATCGAAGCCGTGTATGGCCGGTTGCACAGCGGGAGCACAAAAAACAAGCATGTACACTCCTCGAGATGTTCAACCAACTCTGCGATCTGAAAAATGCAAGGACTGCATCCCAGGCACTGGTGAACACGAGCTGTAAGATCAGCTTTGTTTGTGCATTCATGCTGGCCGCAGTTATAGCTACAAACACACCCGAATGTCCCAGAACTCCAAGACCGTCCGAAGCCCGGCCGCTGCCACCGACGACTGGATAGGCACCTGTTCCGAAGTGGAGATAAGGACATGCGAGGAGTCTCCTCGAGCTTCTAGCTTTCAACTCTGGCATGCTGTCCGCAAAGGCATCTCCTGTGAGTCGTCTGGTCATGTGTAGCTGTGCATCCGCGGGGTGCAATCGGCCTACGCTCAGGTCCAGCATAAGGTCACATGAAGGAAATCAAACAATACAACAGATACTGAACGCAAGCACATCACTTCTGCAGAAGCTTCAAAAGTTCATGGCAAGCGAAGCGTTCCAAGACTTCACAGGTTTGTGTTTTGACCCCAGGTGCGGCCACCTTGTGCGTGCCCAACGGAACGGTCTTCACCTTTCGACAAGCTATGACATAATGCAATGCCGCATGCTGTGTCGTGCACGGTGCCTCGGGCTTGGCAAAAGCCGACGCCGCTGGAGCACTGCTAATTGGCGTGGTCGTCACCGGAGTAGAAGTCACGACCTCAAGTCGCGACTGGTACCGGCCGTGAGCACAAGCAACAGGCTGCCGATGCGTGCAGCGCAGTCTCAGTTCCGTGCCGTCACATCAAGGGGCTCTTTCTGAGCCTCGAACTTCGAGTTTCGTGGAGTGTGAAAGTGGAAGCAAGTGCCTCAGGACCCCTGCCTTCGCCGGCGCTGCTTTGGCCGGCTTGCTTTCGACGACCTGGCCGTGTGGCACAGGCTCAAAGTGCCCGGCGAGCCCTTGAGCCTTGAGCCCTGCAGGCGCCTCAGGCTTGGCCTGGGGCGAGGAGACAGGCAGAGTGGTGACCGGTGTGTCGGTCACCGGGGTATCGGTCACCGGCGTGGAGGCCAGGACCTGGCCCCCAAACGCAGCACCACAATCCTAAGCTTCGAAAGCCCCTGCTCAGAACACTGTCACCGTCGAGGTCGCGGCCACCACATCCGGCAGCTCTTTTCGAGCCTCGTTTGATTGAGTCTGGTCGGCTCAACGTGTCAACCTTCTGCTGCAGCTGCCGCATGCTAGCTGCTAGTCGAACACTCCCTTCGGTGACGAGCGCGGGACCGTGGAGGCGGCTGGAAGCGACGCCGGCTTGCTTTCGACGGCCTGCGCAGTCCCAGCTCGCTGTGCTTTGCCAAAAATCTGCATGTCTGTAGCAGTTAGCATCCAACCCCCAAGAATCCCCAAGCGGCCAGCTTCCACTTTCAAACCTGTGCTTCATGACAGATGCTCTAGTCAGTCACATCTGGTATGGAAAGTCAAAGTTGTGTTCATGGCATTCGCCGTTAACGAGTTCATCTTCGATCGAAAGAAATCTGATGCAATGCTCCTTCAGTGCAGTGCGAAATTGTTGGGCACGATCTACCTACCAGTACTGTCGTTCTCACGATGTCGCGTACCGCACTTGACCTCGACTTAACTGTGTAACTTATTAAGCGTCTCGCCACTGTGTAACTAAGCGTCTCGCCTGGATGCAGGGGCCAAATCGTACTGTAAAAATCTTGGTCCCTGCCTCTCTCTCTCTCTCTACCGGGCTTGGGGATTGGGGCAGCATCCAGGCCCCTCCCCCCGTGCAATGCGCACACCCGCTATTCGCGGGTTGTCCTGGATCCTCGTAGGGGGTTGATCTCCCCCGAGGCTTGGCTGCACAGCACAAGGGTTCACCCATTCACTGCCCTCCGGTTTGCCGTTACAGGGAGGTTGCAGTGTGGGTTCCCCCTTTTTGTTGGCAGAGCTGACGACTCGGTTTTGCTTATGTAGAAAAACACGCTAGAGAATTATGGACATGTAGTTGGACAAGTCGCAAGCTGAGGCCCTGGCCATAAGAGTATAATAATCATGCGATATTCTGCAGTTAGTACTCCCCCCTTCTCGTGACCAGGTTACATCTGCCATGATATGACTCTGTGAGACATGGGCTGCGTGGGTTGCCTATTGACGTACTGTAAGTGGGTCCCCCTAACAAGCTCACTGAGATATATATCCCCCAGCGGTTGTCAATAGGGCCCATGCTTCCCATAAAAGGCAGCTTGAAGTCGCCTTCGCCTGTGGCTTCCCCCGTCATCGTCGTCTTGACGCGGGGATCGGGACCGTGCTCTGTTGGCACTCAGGTGAGGAGCTCCCCCGATTGGTGGTGGACTCCACGGCATAGTTGCAGCTTCGCTGTCGTCTTGTGTAGGGATGGTTGCCATTTCCCCCACTTCATTGACCGCCTCTTGTAGGCTCGCTGTCATCATCTGCGCCATTTGGGCGGCTGTTAAGGCGCCGTCTCCCCCACTTGGCTCCGCGGACATGGGCTCGGTCGATGCCCCCCCGGTGTCCTCGCGAAGCTTCTCCACGTTGTCCACGGGCTGCTCGGTCTGCGCGTTGTAGGCCGCCGTCTCCCCTTCTGTATGCTCATCGCCGGTTTGCGTCTGTTCGTGTACTGCATGGGCTCCCCCAAACATAGCTTGCTGCCAGGCCTCAAGTGCCTGAAGTGTTTCAACTATTGGCACCATGAGCTGGCCGTTCAGGAAGGGCACCATGTGCTTGAGTCTCCCCGCAGCCAGCAGTAGTCTAGTAGTTGCTGAAGATCTTTCTGAGGATCGCGCTTCCCATTCTGCAGTGGCTTCCCCCGCAAAGGCGATTACATCCGCCGGGTGTGCCATGGTAGGATCATCTGCCATGACTGTGGCCTCTCCCCTCTTGGTGGTCAGGAGAGCTGCTGGTGCAAGAAGGTCGTGCAGCTCGTTCCACCATGCTAGGGTGTTCCACTGTCTATCTCCCCCCAGCGCACGAAGAATAACCTGGTCGATCTGGTGGTATGCGGCCGTCAGCTTGAGGGTCGCCTTGTTGAGGTTCTGCTCGGTGACGTCCCCCGGCATCGGGTCCTTGAGCTCAGTTAGCCCTGTTTCCACCATGGCTCGCAGTTGGCTCAAGTCCGTCGCATACTCCTCTGGGGTGAAGCCTTCCCCCCTTCTCACTCGCATCGAAGCTACGAAGCGGTATGCTTCGCTGAGTCCTGTGGGGCCTGCGAAGGCTGCCTGAATCCCCCCAGGTCTCGAGTAGGGGAAGCTGTCGGCTTGCGTGAGCATCCGGAGTGCTATGGCACATATGTTGGAGATAAGCTCCCCCGCATGGTTGTCCAGGCCATCTGCAATCTCGTGTATCATCTGTAGCTGGGCCAGTGCGGCTTGGATCGCTCCCCCTTGAGCTGCGAGTAGAGCTTGTGCGTCCATGGGTGCGCGGGCGCTCGAGGAAGATGCTGCTTCCCCCGTTGGCTGCCGGCGTCTGCGTGGGCTTGTTGTTGGTGGTGTACGGCGTCGTCTGAGTGCAGAGCCCACATGGCCTGTTGGCTCTGCCCCGGTCCCCCTGCTTGTTCTGCGGCGTCCCTCTCGGAGCTGGTTTGCAAGAGGAGTGCGTCGTCGTCGGCGAACAAGGCCCACATTCTCCTCGTCAGTGGTCGTGCCGTTGAGCTCCCCCTCGTTGTCGCTGGGACATGCCGTCGGAGAACTCGGCGTGGTAGTGGTCGAGGTCAAAGTAGGCATCGAAAACGCTTGCATGAGTTCGGTGTTATCATGCTCCCCCTGGGGACCTGGTGCAGGAGTGGGCTGCGGGCCGATCTGCCTGCCATCACGTATCTGGTGGAACCACGGAGTCGGCGTTGGCCGCGGCGGTGGTTGCTTCGCTTGCACTCTGTTTGGCTGTGACTGTCTGAGGGTCCTCCCGTCGCTCAGAGGATTATGTATCCTGGTTGGTTGTGGTTGTGCTTGTGGTGGCTGTTGTATTGGAGTTTGCGGTTGCTCCGCTGGTTGTGGCTGCGGTTGCGTGTGCGCCTGCGACTGCTCTTGGTCTGCTTCCGCTGGGTGGGTTTGGGTGTCCCCCGTGTGTTGCTGAGGCAGGGTTGCTTGGTGCTCTGCCTGTCCAGCGCGGTGGTGGTCGTGTTGGTGGGAGTGGCGGTCGTCGTCCGTTGAGGCTGTCGTGGCTTCAGTCCTGTAGAACTGGTCGGGGGTGGTGGTGGTGAATTGGATGCTCCAGTGAGTACTGGTGGAAAGGAGTAAGAACTGGTCCCCCACCTGTAGGGCGAGGCTTCCGCTCTCCTGGTGTTGGGGGGTTGGGACTTGCGTGGTTGTGGCGAGCCAGCGGTGTTGTGAAATTGGTTCTAGCAGTAGCCAGGTTTCACCGCTGATGGGTGGGTAGACATTGACTGGCATGCTTGCCGTCGGCGGTGGAGTGGTCTCCCCGCTGCTGGTCGGGACGTCGGCTTGATACTCGATCCGAGTGAGCCACTTGCCTGCTCTGAGGACTGTGTGCGTGGTTGTAGTGATGGCTGAGTGTGGTAGTGGAGGTGGTGCTGAGTGTTCTCCCCCTAGCGAAGGAGGGCGAGGCTGGCGTGGTGTTTCCCCCATCGGTGGGGCTGGTTGTCGCCTCGCTGGGTAATAGCTTGTGGCAGTGGTGGCTGTGGTTCCGTCTTCCTCTGCATCGGGGTGCCAGTAGGGCGTGTAGGTGTCTGCTTTGGTGTGACCTGGCTGGGCCGTGGGGTCATCCGCCGGCTGATGGTCCTCCTCTGCTGCTGTGGCTTCCTGCTGTGGCTGAAGGTGCGGTGGCAGGGGCTGACCGGGGTTGAGCATACGGAAGTAGTTCACCCTCTCTTGGAGGCTGAGTTGGGGCGGTTGCCAGTCAGTAGGTGCTGGCGGGTCAGTGTTGTCCTGTGTTGGTGGAGGTGGCTTGCTGGTGTCGTGGCGTGGTGGTGGCGAAGGGCCTTGACCCAAAAGGTGCTGTCCCCACCTTGTGTGGTGGAGATTGTTTGCTTTCAGCCAGCGCTTGATCCTGTATTTCTCTGCTTTGTTCTCTGGGCCTCCCCCCTCATGGTAGCGGTACTGGGTTCCGCGTTGGGTGTTGGCTGTTGTGGTTGCTTTGGGGGTCCGCCGGCACGGCGAGTGGGTTCCAGGTTGGTTCCCCCCGGGCGTGCTTCCGCCGTCGTCGGTATTGCTGCTGTCTCCAGGGAAGTGCGGGAGCAGTTCCCGTTCGATATAGGTGGCTGGTATCTCCCCCGTTGTTATCCATACGTAATGTTCACGCATGGTCATACCTGGGATGGCTCGTGTGCCGCCTGGTGGTAGACGGGAGCCTGTGACCGCCTCAAAGGGGGCCAGCCGAGGATGAGCGTCCCCCGGGCCGGTCGTCGCTGATGCTGTGGCTGTGGGTGGCGTTGTGGGCTGTTGCTCTGTCCCTCCTGACGCGGGTTGGTGCCCACTTGGGTCGGCTGCAGGTGTGACCGGTGGTTGAGGTGGGGTGTCAGGCTGTGGTTGCACCGTGGTGGCAGCCTGGTCCGTCATTGGTGTGGTTGCTTGTGGTGCATGGGCCTGGTCGTGATGGTGGCTTCCTCCAGATGGGTGTGGCATGTCGGGTGTGGAAGGTTGGTAGGTTGCCCACGGGTCTGTGTCAGGGTTGTAGGTATTGGCATAGGCCACTCCGTGGGGCCCAAAGGGTCGGATGGGGGCTCCCGTTGACTGTGGTGGTACTTGTGGTGGGTCGTAGGCTTGGCTAGGAGGTTCGATGATCTCCCCCGATGGGTCTCGCAGGTTGCCTTGAGCGTCGTAGGACGCGAACCCGTGATCTGCGGCCAACTGTGCTGCAGTGTATGGTTGCTGTGAGGCATGTTGCTGTTGTTGTTGGCGTTGTGCCTGGTACATGTCTGCGAGCCCTCGGGCCACTCGCCTTGTCTGGGGGTTGGCTCGTAAGAAAGAGTACCCCGGTGCGCTGGGGTAGTTGTGTTTGTGGTGGCGGTTGTTGCGGAGAGGTTTCTCCTGTCGCAGGTGGTTGTTGTGGTTGTTGCTGGTGGTTTTGCGGAGAGGCTCCTCCGGTGGCAAGTGGTTGTGCTTGTGGTGTCGTTGCGTTTGCGCCGGCCGCCGGTTGCTGGTAGGGTGGCTGCTGTGGGGGTGTCCCCCCGATGTGCGGGTCCATGTATGGTTGTGGCCACGGGTCCGTGTTGGGGTTGTATGGTGGCGGTGGCTGTGGCTGTTGCCAGTGGTGGTATTGTGGGAGCTGCTGTGATGTCTGGCTTCCAGTTGCGTGGTGCCATGCTGCCGCGGCTGCTGCTTGGTTGTTTCCTCCTGCTTGTGCGG